GCGACGAAGGATTTGACGACAAAGCAACCAGCGACGAAGCAGCCGGCGACGAAGCAACCGGCGACGAGGCAACCAGCGACAAAGCTATCAGCGAAGAAGGAGCAGGCGACGAAGCTATCAGCGACGAAGGAGCAGGCGACGAAGCAGCAGGCGACAAAGCAGCAGGCGACGAAGCAGCAGGCGATGAAGCAGCCGGGGACAAAGCAGCCTGCGACAAAGGAGCAGGCGACGAAGGAGCCAGTCGCGAAGCAGGCACCGTCGTCGTCGTCGTCGCCAGCCTGCCAATCGGCTCAAGACCGATCCAAGATCTTGAAAGCAGTACGTCGCTTCGACTGCCAATCATCACCCACTTGACGCCATTGATTCATCCCTCCTCAGGCTCGCGCCTTACCAAATTTCTCTGTGACCGCCATGTCTCGATTCCCCAATCTGGAACCCAATTAAAGATCCAATGTCCTGTCGCGCAATGATGGCGCCACTGCCGTTTCTTCAGCAACGTCATCCTCGCCAACTTGACGACGGATAGACAGAGGCAGGCTAAAGCGGCGCGCTAGTACTAGACCGTGTGACGAGTGGCCTCCCCGCCGTCTCTATGCCGTGACGTGGCGGATTGCGTTAGTACTGCCGTCATGGTCGCCGCCGTCAACGCTGCCGTGTTTCCGGTCTGCTTTAAGACGTCTCAAAAGACACTTATCTTTCACGTGGTTTTCACTAGTACTACCGTGAGAGAATCGCGACTATTCGCCATCAATCGTTCACCCAGTCGTTAGATCTCTGGTAGATTCGCTGATGGTCTTGCGGTGTACTGTTAGACCGTGACTACTCGTCGGTCGGCGACTAGGATTGCCTTCTTGATCTGGACGGAAAAAAGTTAGATGGCAGACGGTCGCTAGCTCGACGGACCCAGGATAATCAAAGCGGCTGATGGAGTTGACTGACAAATGCGCTTACAGTGGAGCCGAATCGACGGATCCAACCGTTGAGTTCGTTACTCGGTTTTTCTTCTGGACCTGCCACTTCGCCTAGTCGCGCTGTTCGTCCTATATGCATTGGATCGTTCCGTGACTGCTACATCTGCCCACCCGTTCCTTGCGCTTCCGCCGCAGGTGCAACTGAACTTGGCGAAGCGGCGGCTCGTTTTCATTACTTTTACGGCCCACCTAGTACTTAATATTGCCTCCTATTTCCTATCCACAATTGTCCCGTCGCATCGCAGGCGTTGCTGAACATGGCGAAGCGGCAGCCCAAGAGTCCCGAGGTGCATTTCTTCCTCGCGCTGCACTTTCTCCGCGAGCACCAACCCGCCAAGGTACGCGCGCGCGCTCTTCCGCGGAGTATTCGCGGAAGATTGGTACTGTCGCGAGGCTCTCGCGCGCAAGGATTCCGCTGAGTTACACTCGCGGCTTTCTGGCAGAGAGCTTTTCCCGCAATTCATACGCGCGCGTTTCCACGTTTCGCAAACGCATGCGTGCGCTCATGCTCCGCCTGCTGTCCGCCAAGGAGGAAGCGGAAGGTTCCGCGAGCACCAATTTCCCAAGCGATGCGCGCTATTCCACTAGCGATTTTCTCTCGCGGACACAATCTATCCGTGAAATTTGATGGCGGTAGCAAATGCTTGCTATTCCGTCACTAAGCGAGTGGATATTGGGGAAAACATGTACATTCGCATTTTGGATTTCTTTTTTCCCCTTCCAGACGTTGAGCGCTTTTGAAGCCGCAGTGGCAGCAGTGTAGGCCTTGCCAGAGGAGACTGATGTTGTATCCCATATGTGCGTGTCTGCATTTTTCCACATACTCCCTCCTTCTCTATGCCAAATTCCCTCTCCTTGCCCTTGCTTCTTCACTTTCTCGGCCAGGCGTTGAGCGCGTTTGAGGCCGCAGCAGCAGCAGTGGCAGCGCTGCCGGAGGAGCGAATGTCTCAGCCCAGGAGAGACCTGCACTCTGCTGCTCACCGCCACATGGCGCAGGTCTGTTGGTTGGCTTTCGTTTGCATCCGTTGCACCGCATGGAGCTTGTGGCACCTAGCGCCGTTCCTTTCTAACTATTTCTGAAGTAGCTATTTCCTAGTCCAATGGCTGGTCCCTCTCTGCCCCATGTGTGCTTCGCTTGAAAGAGTTTTCATCAACCCCACATCTCCTCCCATCTCTTGCCCCCGTGCGTGCCTGCTCCGCTGCAGTGTCATCTAGAACTGGCTATGCTCGCTGCCCCTGCTGCTGCTGACGCCGACCACCACCATCATCACCATCACCAGCACCTCAATACTTCGCTGCAGCAGCAACATCAGCAAAAGCAGCAGAAGCAACATCAGCAGAATCAGCAGCAGCAGCAACAACAGCATGCAGCACATGCAAACGATGCTGACGTGGCTGGTGGCGCCTCTGTCACTGGGCACAAGCAAAGCAGCTCCAAGGCGCAAGGCAAAGCACAGGTGAAAGATCAGGTAAAAGGTCAGGTGAAAGATCAGGTGAAAGCACAGGGTAAGGTGCAAGTTAAAGCGCAGCTCAAGGGGCCGAGGAGGGGAGTGAAGGTGGAGCAGCAAGCGCAGAAAAAAGGGGAGAGGCGGGGAAAGCGAGCGAGAGAGAAGGAAGGAGCGAGAGAGAAGGAAGGAGCGGGGCTGAGTTGCCATATGGAAATGCATGGAGAGGAGCAGAGCCTGCCTGACATAGCCCCGGGGGGTGGTAATAACACTGAGAAGAGGAAGTTTGAGGGGGAGGGAGAGGAAGAGTGCGGTACGGATGGGTTGGATGGGTTGCTTGGACTGGCTGGGTTGGTGGAGGAAGTGGAGGGGAGGGAGGCGAAGCGAGTGTGCAGCGCTTTGGACATGTTTGCTGCTGTGGCTGACCTTGAACTGAGGAGGGAGGAAAAGTTGAGGGAGGAGAGGCAGAGGGAGGAGAGGCAGAGGGAGGAGAGGTTGAGGGAGGAGGCGGCGTGCAAGTTGCGTGAAGAGAGTGCGGAAGAGGAGGTGGGGCGTAAGGGTGAAGGGGAGGGTGAGGGGGAGGGGGAGGGTGAGGGTGAGGGTGAGGGTGAGGGTGAGGGTGAGGGTGAGGGTGAGGGTGAACGGAAGCTGAAGCAGGAGGGGGAGGGGGCGGATGAAGGGGAGGGGGAGGGGGAGAGGAAGCGTAGGCGGAGCGTTTTTCTCAAGCAAGAGGAGCTTGGGGTAGAGATTGAGGGGGAGGGAGTCGGGGATTGTGCCGGTGTGCAGATGGGTGGAGGGGTGCGAACGGAGGTGGAGTGCGGTGGAGATGTGTCTCATGGTCGATGTGACGATGCAGATGGGGTTGGATGGGAGGAAGCGCATGCGGCAGAGGGGAGTGCGAGGGAAGAGGAAAGAGTGAAAGAGGAATGGGTTGGGGCGGCTGAGGAGGAAGGGGAGGAGGAAGAGGAGGAGGAAGAGGAGAAGGAGCAGGAGGAAGATACGGTGATTCGCAATGTGATTCACCATTTGACTCTGGCTGCTGCAAACGATCCCTCTGCTGCTGCCACTGGTGGTGCTGCTGCTCATGCTGATGCTGCTGGTGATCCGGGTGCTACTTTTGATGCTCCGATTGGCACCGCCATGGAGGCAAAGGACGTTGCAGAGCAGTCACTGGGAATGCCACCTGCTGCTCCTGTTGGTGCTGCTGCTGACGGGAGCAACTGCAGTGGTGCTTTCTCTGGTGCTGGTGATGATGGTGCTGCTGGTGCTGGTACTGCTGGTACTGCTGGTAACCACATGGAGGAGCAGCAAGGAGGGGAATCCCCAGCAGGAGGAGAGGGAGCTGAGCTTACCCCGGGCCCTGGTGACGTTGAAGGCATTGGAGCTTTGGATGCGACTGGAGCTTTGAAGAAAGCAGCGGAAAGAGGAGGGACGGCTGCCACCAATCACCTCGCTGTCATGCTCCTGCTATACGGGCGAACAGAGGTGCGTGCGCTGCGCTGTGCAGTGTGTATCTACGCTGTTTGATCCGTTAGCTGCTGCTCTCTCTTTCTGTTTCAGCTGAGTCCTCTTAGTCACCATCTCAATCGGCTGGTCCATCCATCCGTTGCAGAAAGCCCCGTTTGAAGTCCAGCCAGTGCAGTTGGCGTGCTTCGGCATAGCTACAAGCGGTGATATCGCTGGATTTGAGACACCTGAAATCCCTTTCTCTCCACTCCACGACCCTCTGGCTTATGCGTTGCAGAAAGCCCTGGAAGTTCTGTCGCAACAGCTGGCAAGCGTTGAAAGTGGCACAAGCGCTGATGGTGCTGGCACTGGCAGCACTGTCAGCACAGCAAGCCCTACCGCTCCCGTCGACACTGACACTCTCGCCAACCTAGGAGCTGCCCTGCTGCATGTGTGAGTGCCTTCGTGTGCTGTCGTGCTGTCCTGCTGCTTCTGTAGACTGCATGTGTCTTTGTGTGGTGCAGGTGTGTAACATCTGTCCTCGTCTCACCTGCTCGCCTGCTCGCCCCCCCTGAGAAAAAAGCTCCCACCCACCTGCCTGCTTCCCTTTTTTTCTCGTTGTTTCAGGGGAAGGTACGAGGAGGCTGCAGCATGCCTGCAGGCAGTGCTGCAGAGGGAGCCGCAGCACCCTGCTGCTCTCTGCTCCTACTCCGCCCTCCTGCTTGCCACACAGCGGAGCCATGGCAGGAGACATGACCACGTGCAGCACCAGAAGCCGCTGCAGGAGCTGGAACTGGAGCAGCAACAGAATCTGCAGCAGCAGGAGCAATCGCAGCAGCAGCAGGATGACGAGAAGGAAAGCGCTCCGGTTGTTGGTGCTGTGATTGATGAGACGAAGACAGAAGGAGCAGCGTTGACTCCAACGGGAGCAGCAACGGACACAGCAGGAGCAGATGCAAGCATAGAGGGAGGAGATGGAACTGTAGCAGTATCAGCGGCTGCAGTGGACGCAGCAGGGGTGTCAGCGCAGCAGTGTGCGGCAGCAGCAGTGCAGCTGCTACCGAGTTGTGCCTTCCTGTGGTGCAACCTCGCCCATGCCGCCACCCGCACAGGCAGCTGGAAGCAGGCCGCAAAATGCATGTCCCAGGTACCCTTTGGCATGGCTTTTACCCTTCCTTTTTCTTTCTTCCTATCAGCATCTTGTTTTCTCCGGTAAGAGAGAGTCAACCCCTGCGGTCGCAGCAAGGCCCTGAGAGAGTTGTTTTGTTTGATTTGATGCTAAGCCTGGCCGCGCTGGTTTGATTTTATTCTCTGCAGGCTCTGAAGCTGCAGCCATCCAGTGCGCCTCTGCGCTTCGCAGCAGCAGCCCACCGCATCGCCACTGCTGCTGCTGCCCCTCTGCCTCTCGCCCTCGCCTCCCAGCACATCCGCTGTGGCGTTGCAGAGATGGCAGATGCGGTGGGACTTCCGGAACTGGCTTATAGGTCAAATGGTAGTGGTTCTGCGATCGTGTTTGAAACTCGTGCTGCTGCTGCTGCTGCTGCTGGTGTTGGTGGTGGTGCTGGTGGTGGTGCTGGTGCTGCTGCTGCTGCTGGTGCTGCTGCTGGTGCTGCTGGTGCTGGTGGTGCCTTAGGTGGTTGTGGTCGCAAGTGCATGCTGGGTCATGTGCCTGAGTGGATGGCATGGGACGCAGTGGCGCATGCACACGCAGCCCTTGAACGCAGAGCGCTCCAGGAGATTGTGACTAAAACGGGGGCGTTTGTGGTGGAAGAGGAGCCGCGGTTGATTGTAACAGGGCGTTCTGATGGAGGGAGCGCACATGAGGGGTTGGGGGTTGAGGAGGAGATGGAGCGGGGGGAGAAAGGAAATAGGTTAATGGCGCTGGTTGGTGCAGCATCAGGGGGTGAGGGTGGGGATGGCAAGGAGGAAGAGGAGGAGGAGGGTTTTAGGATGGGGGATGGGAATGGGAGTGGGGAGGTGGTGGACCAGGATTTGGCATGTTTAGTGGTGCAGGCAGAGGAACTGAAGATTGCAGCGTGGAAGAAGCAGGTGAGAGCGGGAGGAGAGGGAGGGGCTGCAGAGTAGGCTTCCAGTTCTGTTTTGCTCCGCAGGCAGTTGCATGTGTATTTTGAGTCGACTCAAAATTACGTTTTGCTCCGCAGGTGCGTGAGAGCCTCTGTTGCCGCAGCAGAAGGGCCTTCTTTTCCGTCTCATCCTCTAATCCCGTACTCTCCTATCCTGCCTTCCTGTCAGTCACACGTCTTGTTGTTTTGAGACGTCTCATCCTCTAATCCCGTCCTCTCCTGCCCTGCCTTCCTGTCAGTCACACGTTTCGTCGCCACTGATTCCGCAGTCTTGCTATACTTGATCCTTATACCCTCGTCCGTTCCCCCCCCCCCCTTTGCTTTGCTGCGCTCAGGCGCTGATGGCAGCAGCAGGGCTGGGAACTGGAGCCCATCAGCTGGGCGTGCATGCACTGCGCTCAGCCATTCACTCACTTGGTTCTGACATGGGAGATGCTGCCGCGATCAGAGGTGCTGCACACAAGGGAGATGGCACCACAACGGGCAGTGCTGCTGCGGGGATGGGAGATGCTGATGGTGCAGCAGCAGGGCTGGGAACTGGAGCCCATCAGCTGGGCGTGCATGCACTGCGCTCAGCCATTCACTCACTTGGTTCTGACATGGGAGATAGCACCTCAATGGGCGGTGCTGCTGTGGGGAAGGGAGATGCTGATGGTGCAGTTGAACTGGCTTCCACGGGGCATTTTGCAGCAGCTCGCTCACACTTCCTCAGAGCTCTCTCACGCCACCAGCAATCCACTGCCTCGTGGACTTCCCTCGGTGAGCCATTCTTGCAACAGCAGCTGTGCCCCCAACTTTATGCCACGTTCAGAACCCTCCGTTCCAAGTTTTGAGACGTCTCAACCTGTTGGTTCAAACCCTCTGCTCTGATTCACTCTCTCACCCGCCGCATATTGCCTCTTGGCACCATGCACCTACCTACCCATCCGATGGAGTACCATCAAAGTACCATGCACTTCTCAATGTATGTTGATGTGTCTGTTTGACGTTGTGTCTGGGTTCCCCTGTTCTCCTGTTTGTATGCAGGCCTGTGCCTGCAGCTGTCAGGCCAACTAGGCGAATCCGAAGCAGCGTATACCCGCGCACTGCTATGCCCATCATCTTTGCCGCCTCCTCCTCACCACTCCACCGTCCCATCTCCTGCTGCTCCTCCTCCTCCTCCTCCTCCTCCTCCTCCTGCATCTGCTTCCCATGTGACCTGGTCTAACCTCTCTCTGCTTCTCCGCGCACAGGGCCGTCTCTCTGACGCCCTCTCTGCCGCACACAACGCGCTCCTCCTCGCCCCCGCGCACGGCCCATCCCTCTGCAGCTTCGCTCTGCTCTCTGCCGCTGCTGGCCGCTGGAACGACGCTGTGGACGCGTTTCAGCGGGCGAGAGAGGTTTTTGGAGTGCAGGGAGGTGTGGAGAGAGGGGAAGTGGTGGGGGAGGAGGGGAGGGTGATGGAGGGACGGGTTGAGATGGGAGAGGAGTGTGGGTTTGGTGTTGGTGAGGTGGTGGGAGTGGGTGACGCGGTGAGAGAGGCTGTGAGGGTGAACCTACAGGTGGCTCTGAAATGGCAAGCACGGGCAGAGGAGGAAAGGGAGAAGGTTGAGAAGAAGAGGGAGGAGAGGGAGAGGAAGAAGCAGGAGAAGGAGGAGAGGGAGAGGCGGAAGGCTGAGAGGGCGACAAGGAAAGAAGCTAAACGGGTTCGGAAACAGGAGAGGCTTGAACGGCAGGCGAAGAAGGAGCAGGAGAGGAGAGAAAGGGCTGAGAAGCGTGAGGCGAGGAAGATGCGGAGAGAGCAGAGGAGGCACGAGCAAGAAGCGCTGCTGCGGAGCAAACAGGAGCAGCAGAAGCTTCAGCCTGCGGCTCCTTCTGAGCCTCTTGATTCTTTGCATGTCTCTCCTGCTGCCACTCCTGCTGCCGCCCCTGCAGCTGTGTCTTCTCCTGCTGCTTCCCCTGCTGCTTCTCCAGTTGCTGCAGCAGCCGCAGCCTTGGCTGCTGCTGTTCCCAAGGCAGCGCTTATGGATCTGAATGAGATGTGTGACGATGAACCAGATGCTCCGTCCTTGGGTGCAACACCTGCCGAAGCTGCTGCACGTGGTGCTGAGAATCCCAAGGATGATGCGGGTGCCGCTGCTGCCTTGCGTCCGCCGGAGGAGCAAGGAGCAGCAGTGGCAGTCAGGGGCGAATCAGGCGGGGAGATTCCCCACCAAACTGCTGCTTCCAAAGCAGTGTCTCGGAGCAAGGACTACCAGTCCTTTGCTCACAACGTCGCTGCGTCTGGATTCTCCTGGGAGGTGTTTAAGCTCCCACGGCCTGTCACACTCCCGTCGAATGGTGCCACCCTGCCCGCTGCTGCTGCCGCCATGCCTCCTTTCAACTCAGGGCCCAACAGCCTGCAGCAGCTCCCGCAGCACTGGCAGCAGCAGCTACAGCAACCACATCAGCCGTGGCATGGGCTGCAGCACTTCCAGCAGCCCCAACAGCAGCAGCAGCATCAGCAGCAGCAACAGCAGCAGCAGCAGCAGCAGCAGCAGCAGCAGCATCAGCAGCAAGAGTCGCATAGATCCAGCCAATCTTTGGGTGGAATGCAGCAACTGAGTCATGTGGTGCTTGAGGCAGAAAAGAGGAAGCAGGAGGCTAATGGGATTCCCCAGATCCTTGGATCTGCATTGGAAGCGTCCAAGGGTAAGGAGGCTGGGAAGGCGGCCAGCGGTTCAGTTCAGGGCCTGCATATCCCAGGCAGGTTGAATGGTACTGTGTTGAGTGTTTTGAGAAGGCATTGTGAGGCGAATGGGCGGAAGGAGATGGTCGGGTTAGCAGTGGAGAGGAGGGGCTCTCAGAATGGTGCTGGTGAAATCCCTGCTGCTGCTGCTGGTGCTGGCACTGCCACTGCTACTAATGGCACCAATGGCACTTGGCATCCAACATCTGGTCACAGGAACGGGATGATGGAAGCAGCACGAGAAGCTGTGAAGTCTTCAGCCAACCCAACCTGGCCGAACTCATCACATACCAACCCTGCGCTACCTCTCGCCAACTCAGCAATGGCCGATGCAGCGTCAGGTGCCAGCGCGGCGCCCAAACGGAGAGTACTGCTGGACTTGGAAATGCCAGCTTGTGAGCTCTCAGAAACAGAGAGCGGAGGGAATACTCCTCGGGGAGCAGGCACTCCTTGCAGTGCGGGTAATTTCCCTGGCGGAGGTAACATACGCCATGGGGGGGGCATGCCTGGTGAAGGTAATGTACTTGGTCCTAACAAAGGGAGTGTGTACGCTGGTGGGAATGGTTTTTATGGAAGTGGAGTTAATGCAGCAGTGGTGCAGGGGGTTGGACTGAGGCCACAACCACCAGAGGCAATGGTATCGGAGCATGCTGCTGAGCGCGCAGTGAATGGATTTCATGTGGCGCCGCGCAGTGCAGGAGGCAGGGATGCAGGGTCGGATCGAAACCGTCTTCCTGACCTCAATGATTGGCTGACAGCATCTTGAAATTTTATCATGGTTGGCGGCTGGCATACCGTGCAATATCTAGGGTGGATGAGCAAGAAGTGACTTCTCCATTCTGCTGTATAGTGAAGGCTGGCGTTAGGTCTTCAAAGAACATGCCATGTACTCTGACACTGTAAGAATTTCAACGCTGGTGGTTGTCAACTTATCATCTTTTACAAACTCCATCAATGATGGCTTGCAGTCAATTCAGCTGACAATGTGCAGATTCATTCTATGCTGGCAGACAGAATCCAGTGTGTCCCTTGGTTGTCTTGGCTGTTGAAATATGCTCGCTCTGTTATGAAAATTGCAGTCTTCCTGCAACGCGCACAACGGTCAGTCGCGACCCAGAAAGCAAGATAGTATTGCATTAGCTGAAATAGTGAAACCCCATTTTGTCTATATGCTGTGTCGGCCACCCATAGAGAAAGAAATAGTAACTCAAATCCTCAAAATCCATCCTTTGTAGGATGCAATATCTAATGGAGGTAGCCAGGCATCTTGATCCGCAGGAACACCATGCTCATGGTGTAACTCATAACCACCATGGACAGCCCAGTACCCAGATACACCAGCCGCATGTTCTTCGTTTGCAGCTTGTCGCAAGCCCAGTCGATCAGGACAATCCCAAGGCCTCCCATCACGAGCATAAATCCGGACGAAAGGCCTTCGATAATGTACTGCTGGTTCAGTCTTCCCGCCATTATGACCTCGGGAACGAATTTTCCCGTGGCTTCGTCCTGATGGCCGCCGATGCCGGGAGGCTCGACAATCATGTCGAAGACGATTCCAGAAACGACGAGGAAATAGCTGAAAACTACGAAGCAGTAGACGACCATAGGATGGGGGAAGGAGAAAGTCGGGAGCTTTAGGCGGAGCTTCGGCGGGCGGAGAATCGCGTAGGGAAGACTGGTCAGGTGGAAGAACGGGTCTAGGGACGCCATGGCGGCTGATGCCGTCAAGTAACAGATCACGAGGATCTCAGCGAAAATTGCAGGTCCGAATTGACTAGTCTCAGATTGGCTCGCTCCGGGAAGGCACTGGGGAAGAAGGGGGAACAAAAGGAGTGGAGGGGGCAGATCCTGAAGTTGCCGAACACAAATCTCCGTTACGTCATACTGTTTGGAGAAACCTATAGAAAGTGTACACTTCAATTTTGTAAACCTTGATATCGTAACGTTTTGTCCCATGTTTGACATGTGGTTTCTTTGGCCCTTACTCTAAGCTGTCAACAATTGCTACCCATGGCTCCACTTCTGGTTTTATAATCATATGATTTATTTCAATCAGAAATAAATTTACACAAAAAAACGCATAAACCAAACAAACCATATGTAAAAATAAGCAACAAGGCTATTTGCTGCCTTGTGGAAAACATTAATATAGTTATAGAGATCACAGAGTGTGCAGCAAGTGAGCTGTGTCACGGAGATCTTGGGTTGCTTGAAAAACTATTGGCAGACGGTCCGTTGCTGACATTGAACGTGGAGAGGTGGTGATGATGCTCGGGCCGATGCGACACCTCGTAATCCAAATGAACAAACGCTCTCTCTATCTCCGGCAGCCTCTCCAGCTTGTTCTGAAGCGCCTCGCCAATGTCATGTGCCTCCTGGGAAAACCAGAATATGTGAGTCAAATCAGAATATGGCATTGGGCCGAAAAAAATAGAGCGACATGTGCCAGGCACACTGTATCATCATTTGGGGAATAAACAGCGGAAAGAAAATCGGGAACGACGAGAGGGATGAAAAACATTCATTGCAGTACCTTAAGCAGCATTACAAAATAAAATCAGTGGTGTACCTTGAGCGGCATGTCTTCCGGCAACACAACGTCCACTTCGGTGAAATAGGATGCGCCAAACGTATACGCCCGCACTGTATCAATGGCCAGGATCGCCCGGTGGTGGTTCCAGCACAGATACGTCAGCTTCTGCAGGAAGGCGGGCGGCGCCGTTCGTCCTGTTAAAGAGCGCACGTTCTCCCGCACGGTGTTGCCCCAGTTGAACATGGTGTACAGGGCGAGCTGGGGAACAGGTGAGGGGGGGAAGGGGGGGGGGGGGGGAGTTGGGGGAGGTTGGGGGTGAGTGACATCCTGAGCTGACTCAAATGTGTAGCAGCACACGGTGTTGCCCCGGTTGAACATGGTGTAGAGGGCGAGCTGCATTGTGGGGAGGCAGAGAGAGGGGAAAGCAGGGAATGAAAGCAGCAAGACTCACTTACGCATGAGTAGCAAACTGAGCAGAAAAACAGGAGCGAGAAGAGAAGAAAGACGAGAAGAAGTTGGAGGAGGTAAGGCAGCGGGACGTACGAAGATGGCTCCGACGGGGTCGATCCACCAGGCATATTCCCCTGCCAGCACTGCTGCTGCGAGGCCCACAATGTTGGTTACCACATCCATCATGTGATCCTAGTGGATAGATGCAAGGGGTGTAAGGAATGGGGTGTGGGTGTGTGTGGTAAGATAAGGGGCATTGCACTGCTGTTGCTGCTGCGAGGCCCATGGTGTTGGTCATCACTTCCATCATGTGATCCTGGTGGGTGTGGTGAGGAGAGGAGGAACAGTGCAAGAGTCAGGGCACAGGAGAATAAGAGCTTGATATGCCATGCATCGTGATCAAGGTGCCTCAAAAGCCATCATGAGAAAGTGGTCATAAAGTTAAACAGAGCAGAGGCCTGCACGATATCGTCGGAGGAGATCCTTTTGAGATAGCTCTACAATTGTATCCGGAAAAAAAAAAATATAAAAAATAAAGGGATAGCTCGTGGAAGATTCTTCCGAGACGCCTAAAATTCAATGGGATCGCCTAACACATGGGATGGAATGTGGAGCTTACAAGGGCATAGGCCTGCACGATGTCATCCGAGAAGAGGCGGCAGTAGAGGAAGAGGATGAACTTTGTGAGAATGACGAGCCCCATGATGCCCACATACACTTGCCACTTCTCGCCTAGGTCTGATGAGTGGTTCTGGTGGGGGGGTGGGGGGGTTGGTTGGGGGAAAAGCAGCAAGCAGGGGCACGGGACAAGCAGCAAGAGGGGAGAAGAGGCGGCAGTGGAGGAAGAGGATGAACTTGGTGAGAATGACGAGCCCCATGAGACCCACGTACACGCCCCACTTCTGCCCTAGGTCCGTAGAGTGGTTCTGGAAAGGAATCGGGAGAAGGGGGAGGAACGGGGGGGAGGAGAGGGGAGGCTGGTCGGCAAGACATACGGCGCATGCGGTGATGCCCCATGATGCCCCATGATGCCCCATGATGCCCCATGATGCCCCATGATGCCCCATGATGCCCCATGATGCCCCATGATGCCCCATGATGCCCCATGATGCCCATGTACACGTGTCAGTGCTCTTCTATGCCCCGAACCTGGGACTCACCGAGTCTGTGAGCTTGCGGACTCCTTCTAAAAGAATCTGGAAGCCGAGGGACGCCATGATGCATGCAAACACTATGATGCCCTGTGGGTGGTGTGGGGAGGGAGTAGGGTGTGGGGAGGGAGTAGGGTGTGGGGAGGGAGTAGGGTGTGGGGAGAGGAGGGAGGGACGGGCGCATGGAAGCATTGGTACATTGAGTGGAGGAAATGGACGAGTGCGGTGCTGATGGAAAGCTCACCAATGGCTGCATGCGCCTCTTCCCGATGGGGTGCTTGTAGGGGTTGGTGCGGCGCATGGTGCGAGATGTGAACCCGAGGATGAACCCGCACAGCTGGTCCAGCAGCAATGAAGTGCAGCGCCAGGCGGTGCAGTGCGGTGCAGTGAGGTCCAGTGCGGTGCAGTGCGGTCCAGTGCGGTGCTAATGGGAAACTTACCAGGGGCTGCATGCGCCTCTTCCCGATGGGATACTTGTAGGGGTTGGTGCGGCGCATGGTGCGGGCTGTGTACCAAAGAATAAACCCGCACAGCAGGTCCAACAGCGAGTCGAGAGTCGACGCGAGGATGGCGAGACTGCCGCTGACAATGGAAGCGATGATCTTGACTATGAAGAGGCACACATTGGCGCCGTTGGATATCTGTACCGCCATGAACTCGTTCCGGTGCTGCCGCCGCGCCTCCCTCACCTCCTGCCAACGGAAAGGAGGACGCGGAGAGGAGAAACAAGCACCACGATTCGAGCGCACGCGCACACTTGCACAAACATGGAACGAAACTGGAAATTCTAACCACTTTACTGAATCCGTCACAGAGCGACGCTGAGTGCATCAGATGGTACAATCAAGGCGGGGCAAAGCGGTGGAAAAGGGTGCACACGGGTGCAAAGGGGTGCAAGGTGTTCACAGCAGGTGTAACATACGCTGGGAGTGGGCGGCAGCAGCTGCTCACTGAGCGCGTCCATCTCACTGAATCCGTCAATCATCTCGTTCTGCTGCCGGTAGTACCCGTCCACGGGGTTCCGCCCCGCCACTGCAGCGCGCGTGCGTGAAAGCGCATGAGCGCGAGCATGTGCGTGAAAGCGCGCGCGAGTGAAAGGGCGCGTGCGAGGAAAAAAAAAAAAAAAATCGGGGGAAACGGGGGAGGGGAAAGAGGAAGATGCGAGCAAGGGCTTAATGATGATGCGCATCGATGCGAAGCAGGAGATGGATAAGATATGAGTAGTATGGCGCCATCAATCATGCTGCGCATAAAGACGCCTAAAGAAGGTGTGCATCGGAATTAAAGCGTTCAAAAAGAAAAGAAAAGAAACAAGAAAAAGGAGGTTCAAACGTCAGGCCTCTGAGGGCCTCAGCTCGCAGCAGCGCAACTCACGCCGTTTAAGTATTCGCGGAAGCCGGCCATGGTTGTCGTCGAGGTCGCGCCGCGCCGCCTCGAACTGACTGTAATCAAGTTGCCACTCCTCGCGCTGACTCCCCGCGCGGCTTATCGACTCAAGCGATATTCCCTCCGACGATGCGTCATCCGCCGACGTTTGCTCGTTCACTTCCCTGGACCCGCCGCCTCTTCCCCCGCCTCTTCCGCCTCCGCCGCCTCGGCCTCCGCCTCCTCCTCCGATTTCCCCGCCCCCGCCGGCATCTCCGTTTCCGCCCGACTCCACGTCATCATCTTCAGCGAAGCGGACGGAGCTGGCGCGCTTGTGCGCGCTCTCTAATGACCCGCTCTCCAACGCGCGCTGGTGCTTGCGCTCCGGTGACGTGGATTGCGTCGCGCCGCGGGCCGGAATCGCGGCAGCGAGCGGGTTTGTGACGGTACATGACGTGACTGTAGGGGGAGGAATGGCGATAGTAGCGGCGGCTGCGTGCGAGATCGAAGGTGCAGGTGGACTATCCGTGGTGGTTGAAATCTCGCCCGTGTTCGCTGTGGTGACAGTTACAGCTTCTGACGCAGCATTAGGAATTCCTGCCGCGTCAGGTGCTCCGGCTGCTCTACCGCTTAAGGACGTCATTCTGGGTGTTTGTTTAAAAATTCTACATTATGGCGGTCTTGTTTCACTAACAGAGAGCGTGATTGACGCTGCTATCAATTATCTTATCTCAACAGTAAGCTAGGAAAAGCTTTGGTTTGGGTGGGAGTGACAGCCAAGTTGTGCTCTATGATTGTTTCCCCCTCACGTGTGTTCGAATATCGAATCGAAGTTTGCAAGTCCAGCCTGCTGAAATTGATAAACGCGCAGGTTGGGGGCGCAGGTTGAAGGATGTGGGAGAGACGAGGGATTGGTATGCGAAGGTGTGCGAACATGAGGAAACATCATCGCGACATCGAAGCAACTGTTACACCAGCTGACGAAATTGGGAAGTCTCCTCGCTCATCTCTTCCCCCGTCCCACGCGGTTCCAAGTCAGCCCGAGTGTGCCCTCGTGTGGCTCCCGCATGCCCGCCTGTAAATTGCCTGCACGCTTCCCGCACAAGCTTCCCCGCAGCTGCTGTGCTGGCATTGTGGAGCACGCACATTGCATACGCGTTGCAGCCCTCGTTGCCGAACCTGTCAACTACAATTGTAGTTCCTTCCCCTTACAATCAATTGTATTGCACATTTTATATGCGCTGTAAACGAACTCGTTTTACCGTACCGAAGTCCAACAACTCCAGCCCCACTTTTGGTAACACCAAGGTTCAAAAAGCAAATTAAGGAGCATTGGGAACTCCATTTATCTCCCTCCCTCCCACATTCCCTCCTCCCTCCCAGGCTCTCAGGGGGTGTCCAGCTCGTACATTTACTGTTCGTAAACCCGTTCAGTTACCACATATTTTGTTGTAACACTGTAATGAACGTGTCATGCGGACACAATCAGCTGTCGTTCACAAGACGGCACGCCCCCTGCACGTACCTCGAGTCGTCTGACTCACGTTACTGGAATCAGCGGGGACGCGAACAAGGGTACAGCACCGCGTCCTGGCCACTACAGTGAGTGCCCCATGTATCGCTTGCACGATTTCGCCAGTGGCTCGCTACACTCGCCAACGTCCCCTGCGCCTGCCCAAAAATTCTCAAGCTATGATTGACGAGGAAGAATGTTACCTCGTTTCGAACGCGGTCCGAGCACTGTTGATTCGTGTGGCGGGGAATGTGTCCGCACTCCAGAAATTACATGTAGGTTGGACTCAACTCACAATACATTCGTTGTTAGGTACAGTGATCATTCTTGAATCTCGAGACGTGTGTTGGCACTAAAAAACCCGAAATGAACTAACTGGACACGCCCTCATATTTGCGTGCCTCGCGGACGCAACCTGACAGACACATCTGCCTGATACATCTGTCTCCAACTCAAAGCTCGCAAGTAATCGTTGAATTCACAAGCAGTCGCTTGTAACAGGCGTCAGCAACCTCAATTTGATACTCGAGTCGGCTCGCGATGACGACAGCAGGTGCATTTTGAGTCTGAAACGTCTCTGCTGAACAACGTTCCAGGATGTTTTGAGCTGATGCTGTTTGTCAATGTCAGCCAGGACAACGGAGTATGAAAATGCATTTTACGCAGCCTTATTTCAGTTTCTGAAAGGCTAACTTTATTTCGATCAAATCAAACTACTCCATATCCGTGAAAATGTGGGGTTTCGCGCTCGAGCCGACGAAGCGCATCGGAGGCGTGTCGCCTCCTCGCCGTCCGATCAGGCATCGACCCGGAACCTCCAGAAAAACCGGCGGCATTCTAGGCTGGATTCCCGGCGGAGCTGGCAACAGCTGGCGAACGATCTGTTCGCCTGTGATCGCTCTCGTGGTGATCTGGCTGCTAGGAATGATAATCTGGAACAGCGGAATTGTCAGGTACGATTTCGTGACGAAACTTAAACTCAAAATTTGCCTTCTGCACTTGCAATTTGAGGTAAGGCTCCCCCATTGGTTTCTCATTCCGTTCTCTGTTCCCGGTTTCACGTCTTCTTCCTTTCCTTTCGACTGAATGCATGTCTTTTTCTCCGTCCTGCACTGCAGCCTTAAAAGTTGGTTTTTGAGAATTCTCAAAAACCAATTCGACTGAATGCATGTCTTTTTCTCCGTCCCGCACTGCAGCCTTAAGAAGCAAACAACCGCTCCAACCGACTCACCTACTGGTCTGGACGCGTCATCTGAGTATGGTGACGATGCTGCTTCCATGGGTGATGGTACCACTGACGACAGTTCGGATTTCACCCCCTCTCTCACCAATAAGATGTCATCTGGTGGAGGATTCGGGGGAGGCTTGGGAACAGGCTCGAGAGCCAGCATGGGAGCAGGCTCGGGAGCAGGTTCGGGAGCAGGATTCGGAGCAGTGGATGAGGGTCTGGATTCCGAGGATGGGGATGGGGAGACAGGCCTGATCGGGATTCCCAAGGTCCTCTGGCACCACTGGCGCTGGTCGGATGGGGGGTATAAGCTCAGGCGATTCATCCAGAACTTCCGCCTGGAATTCCGCTGGTGGGGGCAACAGAGGCGGGCTGGGGGCAGATGGAGGGGAGGATGAGGATGACATGATGGGAGGAAGTGGCGGGAGTGGTGGGTTGAGGGATGGATTTGCCACCAGCAGCAGAGGAGGCGGTATGTGGGGTGGTAGCAGCAGTGGTGGTGTTGCAGCGGGGGGTAGAGCCGGGGGAGGTGGTGCTGGGGCAGGCGGAAGGTGGGGAGGGAGAGGCGGGCCGACGGGTATGTCAGCGGAGGATGAGGAGGAGGATGGAGTGGGGAGCGCTGGTGGCGGTGGGCTTGGGGGTTACCGCAGTCGTGTACCTACAACGGGGTCTAGATCATGGGGAATGGACGATGAGGATGATATGGAGACTGGTGGTGGTGGGAATAGGGGCGGGTTGGCATCCAGAAGTGGTGCGGGTGGGTTTGGTAGAGGGGGGGGAGGAGTGGGGGGAGGGTGAGAGGAGGTGAGGAGGAAGAGGAAGGGGGGGAAGAAGAGGAGGAGGAAGCTGGAGGAGAGGAGGAGGAGGAGGAGGAGGAGGTGGAGGAGGAGGAAGAAGAAGAGGAAGAGAGCGAGGAGGGAGAGGAAGGGGATGAGGATGAGGAGGAGAAAAGCGATCGGGGACGGGGCAGGGGTAGATCTAAGCAGAAGAAAGGAGGGCGGCGGGGCAAACCTGCTGCAGCAGATGAAGACGAGGAAGAGGAGGAGGAGGAAGAAGGAGGAGAGGAAGGAGACGAGGAGGAGGAGGATGAGGAGGAGGAGGTGGTATCCAGCAGTAAGAAGGGGAGGAAGGGCCGTGGCGGTGCTAGGAAGAGAGCAGGGAAAGGAACGAGGAAGAGAAAAGGAAGCTATGATGATGAGGAGGAGGAGGAACAGGAAGAGGAGGAGATGGAAGAAGCAGAAGAGGAGGAGGAGGACGGAGGTAGAAGCAGGAAGAATAAGCGAGGTGGTGCATCTAAGAAGGGACGGAAAGGGAAGAAGGGGAGGAAAGGGAAGAAGAAGGGGAAGCGAGAATCAGAGGAGGAAGATTTGGATTCTGTGGACATGGAGGGGAAGAAAGCAGTCAACGAGGCTGAGAGAGCAGAGGAGGAGGCAGAGCGGGCAGTGGCAGAAGCAGATGGGGAGACGGGCGCTAAAACGGCTGTGGATAGCGAGGTTCAGAACATGCCAGAGAGTGACGTGGCTCAGATATACTACTCTGTGAAGACTGCCCAGCGAGGTGAGTTGACTTTTGAGTCGACTCAAAAGTCATCTCAGAGCATGCCAGAGAGTGACGTGGCTCAGATATACTACTCTGTGAAGACTTCCCAGCGAGGTGAGTCTTGCGCTCAGTGAGTCAGGGTTTGAATGAGAGAAGAGGGCATCTCGACCCACCGGCTGCACACTGTGCCGTTCCTGCGCAGCGCATCTCAGGGACGCCTGTCATGAGGCATGCAGCGCGTGCCGTGCTGGGCTCAATCCTCCCCACTCTTCTCCTTGCAGGTGTGGAGTCGGCTCAGCTGGACGACGACGAGGAGGAAGAGGACGGCATGTCGACCCACCGGCTGCGCAACGTGGCATTCCTGCGCATCCCAGGGACGCCCGTCACGGGGCAGCGCGTGCTGGACTTTGAGCGCCAGCTGGCTCACACGGCGCATCACTGCACATTCTGGACTCCAGTCGAACCTCGCCTTTCGCTGCACCCCATGCTCCCCTTTCCACAGGCGTGGAGTCGGCTCAAATGGACGAGGAGGAGGAGGAAGAGGACGGCATGTCGACCCACCGGCTGCGCAACGTGGCATTCCTGCGCATCCCAGGGACGCCCGTCACAGGGCAGCGCGTGTTGGACTTTGAGCGCCAGCTGGCGTGTGTGTCCCGCGACGGGCTGTGGGCACTCAACTCGACGCCGCGGTGGATGCCGTGGGACCTTAATCCGTTGACTGTGGCCCGCCAGCCCAACTATCGTTCTTGTGACCTGCTCTTTTCCAAAAGGTGTGGGCCAAGAGGTGCAGTGTGGTGTGGTACGGTACGGTGTGGTCCGGTGTGGTATGGTATGGTCTGGTACAGTGTGGCACAGTGCGGTGGTGGTGCGAGTGCTGGACTTTGAGCGCCAGCTGGCGTGCGTGTCACGCGACGGGCTGTGGGCGCTCAACTCCACGCCGCGGTGGATGCCATGGGATTTTAACCCGTTGACCGTGGCTCGCCAACCCAACTACCGCTCCTGCGACCTGCTCTTTGCCAAGAGGTGCGGTGCGGTGCAGTGTGGTATGGTGGGGTACGTGACCGGATGAGGTGCGATACTGCTCACTGTGCGAGCTACTGCTCCTGTAGCTTCCAACATTTGCACCCCCCAACCCTCCGCTCTGTGTGCTTTCTCACATCTCAGAAAGGGCGGCACCGGAGAGGGCACGGCGGTTGCCCAATGCGAGGGCAGCATGGCGGGTGCGCCGGGAGCTGCTGTACCAGTGGCGCCCCGCCAGCCCCCTCCGCTGCCCCTTCCACCCGTTCCACCGCACCAGCAGCTGCTTTCTCAACCGCCTCTAAACAGCAAGCTTGCTTCCTCCTCCGTCTGTCCCCCCCTGTGTGTCCTGTCCTCTCCCATCTCAGGAAGGGTGGTGTGTTTGGGGCAGCAGCGGAGAGGGCGAGGCGAGCCCCCAATGCAAGAGCAGCATGGCGGGTGCGCAAGGAGCTGCTGTACCAGTGGCGCCCCTCCAGCCCCCTCCGCTGCCCCTTCCAGCAATTCAACCGCGAGGGGTTCTGCCGTGCTGTGAGGGGGCGCAACGTGGTGGTGGTGGGAGACGCGTTCAGCCTGGACTGGCACGATGCTCTTTTGAACCACCTGGTCACTGCACAAACCAAGCACAGAGCAGGGCAGCTGGGCGATGCCTGGTAAGTCCTGCAGCGCCTGAGGAGTGGCTGTGAGGGGCCGTAACGTGGTGGTGGTGGGGGATACGTTTAGTCTTGACTGGGGGCTGGAGGGGCGCCACGATGCGCTTCTGAACCACCATGTCACTGCGGGGACGAAGCACAGGGCGGGGCAGCTGGGGGATGCATCTTTCCCTCTCCGCCCACCCACCAGGGCCAATGTCACGGAAGGGGCGTGCTTTGAAAGGGGTCACCGCCTCTGCACCGACGTCCCCTTTATTCCCCCCTCCACCCCAACCAACCCCACCTGGTGGGGTCCACCACCACCACTGCCACCACTGCTGCTGCTGCTGCTGCTGCTGCTGCTGCTGCTGCTGCTGCTGCTGCTGCTGCTGCTGCTGCTGCTGCTGCTGCTGCTGCTGCTGCTGCTGCTGACTAGAAGTTCATTCACCTGCATCTTTCCCTCTCCGCCCACCCACCAGGGCCAATGTCACGGAAGGGGCGTGCTTTGAAAGGGGTCACCGCCTCTGCACCGACGTCCCCCTTGTTCCTCCACCCCCTCCCACCACCACCGCTGCTGCTACTGACTCCTCAACACTTGATGACCCAGACGCTGATCCTGCCACTGCTAGTGCTGCTGATGCCGGTCGCTTCACCGCTGGTGGTTCGGCTGCTGCTGCTGGTGCTGCTGGTGGTGTTCGTGGTGGTGCTGGCGCTGGTATTGGTGGTGGAATTGGAACTGGAATTGGCGGTGCTGGTCGTCGGTCTCACTTCGGGGCTGCTGCTGCTGATGCAGGTGACGACGGCACAGGGGAAGAGGAGGACGGGCAGGGCAGGGGTGAGGAGGAGGGTGCACGGGGGGGGAGGACAGTGGCGAGACGGGTGTGGGTGGACTCAGAAGTGGGTTTCAGAGAAACGGCTGGGGACGAGGCAGAGGGCTGTCTGGGAGAGTGAGGAGTGACGATTGGGAGGGGGAAGTGGGGAGTGGGGAGGCTGACGCACTGGGAAGCAGAAAAAGGAGTGAGAGTGGGGAGGGAGAAGGGGAGTCGACAGGATTCACGAGAGTGGAAGAGGAGGAAGTGTTGGAAGCAGGAGGTGGGGGTGGGCGAGCAGGTAGGACTGGGAGGAAGAGGAGGGCAGTCGGTAGGCAGGGGGGTGAAGGGGATTTGCTGAACCAGGGGGTGAGTCAGTCCCGTGGTGGTGACCAGGAAGGCGGGGATGGTGTGGTGGTGAGGCGGAGGAGGATGGCGGGGTTCAACCTGCGGGTGGTGCTGAACGCGTTTGCAGCGCCGGACACGGGGCGCCCCACGCGGCTCAACAACCGCTGGCTCAAGCGTCTCAAGAAGTGGAAAACCAGCATCCTCGTGCTCTCCCGCACTCCGGCCTTTGGCGACAGTGAGTGCAAGCAGGATGGGTGGGGAGGAAAAGGGGTGGGGAAAGAGGGAGGGTAGATTGTTCTCTCTCTGTTATTGAGTCTATCCGTGCAGCAGGTGGTTCTTGAGAGCTCTCAATTGCAGATGTCTCTTGAGAAGTACCCAAAACCCACTGTGTTCCTCTTCCCTTGCCTCTGTTTCCCCATCCTACCAGAGGAGCTGATGCTGCAGGAGATGAGAGACAAGCTAGAAGCTGTACGGGATCTGTACCCGGACATGCTCGTCATCTGACCTGGTGCAAGGCAGCAGGTTACCATTATCCACGCCAATGCCTCTGCCTCCCTCTCTCTGTCTCGTGTGCACTTCAACAGAGGTGAGGGATACCCTGGAGGCAGAGAGGGACTTGTATCCGGACATGCTCGTTATCTGGCGCTGCGTGGTGGGCGGCCATCCCAGCTGCCAGCACTTCACCCGCCAATCCCTCTTCCACCCTCTCCCACTTGCCCTTACCCCCTTGTCTTTCAGAGGAGCTGATGCTGCAGGAGGTGAGGGATACCCTAAAGGCAGTAAGAGACCTGTTCCCGGACATGCTCGTTATCTGGCGCAGCGCAGTGGGCGGCCATCCCAGCTGTCAGCACTGGCCAATCTCTCCACCTCCTTTTATACCCTCCCTTGCCCCTACCCTCTATCTTTCAGAGGAGCTGATGCTGCAGGAAGTAAGGGACTTGCTAGAAGCAGTGCGGGATCTGTACCCGGGCATGCCTGTCATCTGATTGTTTGTGCCCCTTGCTTGCCCCTTCATGTCTTCAGAGGAGCTGATGCTGCAGGAAGTAAGGGACACGCTAGAAGCAGTAAGAGACTTGTATCCGGACATGCTTGTCATCTGGCGCAGCGCGGTGGGCGGCCATCCCAGCTGTCAGCACTTCACTCGCCCGCTCAGGACCCGGCCCGTCTTGCTGGCAGCCAAGGGGAAGATTCCGGACGTGTGGCTTCGGCATGCTGAGATGAACGCCGCCATCAGGCCTCTTCTCAAGGTATGTGATTGCTTTAGGTGTGCGCTTTACATAGGGGTTACCTCCACTCCATACATGCATAGGGATTGCCTCCCCGCCCTGCTGGCAGCCAAGGGGAAGATTCCCGACGTGCGGCTCCGGCACGCTGAGATGAACACTGCTATCAGGCCGCTGCTCAAGGTACGAACACAACTCAGCTTTTGAGTCGACTCAAAAGCTGCTATCAGGCCGCTGCTCAAGGTATGAACAGAACTCAGCCCCCCCTGGTCTTGGCGCGGTTAGGTGCATTCATGCCATAGCCCCTTTTGCTCAAACGCCCTACTCCTCCTGAACTCCCTCCCCCCTTCACAAATCACACCAGGAGTACAGGGCAGTGCACATGGACGTGGATTCGGCCACTCGTCCCCTTCTGACCCCTCTCCCCTCTCCCCCCCCCCCCCCCCCCCCCCCCCCTCTCTCTCCTCTTCACAAATCACACCAGGAGTACGGGGCAGTGTACATGGACGTGGATTCAGCCACCTCTCTTCGTCCCCCTTGCTCAAACGCGTCTGCCCTCCTGACCTAGTCCACTCCTCCCCCCCATCCACCCCACCAGGAGTACGGGGCAGTGTACATGGACGTTGATTCAGCCACCTCCCTGCGCCCCGACGGCCATCACGAGCGCATGGACGGCAGCATCAACTGCCACCACTACTGCATGCCCGGCCCGCTCGACCACTGGGTGTCTCTCTTCCACAACCTCCTGCTGCTGCTCGACCGCCACTCGCCACACCCTGCCCTCCCTGCTTCCACTGCTGCTGCTGCTGCTGCTGGTGCCGGTGGCGGTGCTGCTGCTGGTGCGGCTGGTGCTGCTGGTGCTGGTGGTGCTGGTGGTGGGAACGGTTTTACTGGTTCTGGTTTCGATGGTGCTGCCGGTGGTGCTGGGTCTGGTGGTGGTGGTGCTGGTGGGGTGCCATCGGTGAAGGTGAGTGGGGTGGTGGGCGAGGGGGGAGTGGTGGTGGAAGAGGAGGATTTGTCTGATGTGCCCAGAGGAGGGAGGTGGCGCAGCAAGGAGGAGATAGAGGAGGAGGAGAGGGGGAGGGGGGATGGAGGAGGAGGGGGGGAGGAGGAGGGATGGTAGGGGTGGGAGGTGCGGGAGGGTTTGAGGGAGCCGGGACGGTGGGAGGGGGGATGGGAGTGGGAGGAGGGTTAGGTGAGGGGCAAGTGGAAGGAAGCGGTGGAGATGGGCGTGGGGGAGTGGAGAGCCCTCAAGAGGCAGATGTGGCCGGTGCAGGAGCAGGGACTGGTGGTGCGGAAGGTGCTGGTGCTGCTGGTGGCGCTGCTGCTTCTAGTGCTGATGCTGGTTTGGAAGGGGTGCCTGGTGAAGCAACAGGAGGGGTTGGAGTGGCGGGAGAAGGGACAGCAGCTGCTGCTGAAAAGGAGGCAACAACTTCTGCTGACTCTGGTGGTTCTGGGAGTGTCATTGCTGCTGGTTCTGCCACTGCTGCCGGCACGACCACTCCTGCTGCTGGTGGCACTGTCAGTAGTGGCGAAGCAGCAAGTGCTGCAGCGGGAGTGGGGCAAGGAGCAGCGTCTACCACTGCCACTGCCACTGCGGCTTCTGCTGCGGACGCTGCTACTCCTGCCATTGCTACTCCAGTTTTAGAGCGTAAGTGACTCCCTGTGTTATTTCTCTCCCTGCAGTTTTCCTTCCTGTGCGCGCACCCTTGTTACGATGCACCCTTCTCGTTCTCCTCACACCCCCCTCTTCACCCCACTTCACCTCTATTACCTCCATGTCACTCCTCTTCACCCACTTCTCTCCTCCCATCTTCCCGTCTTCAACCCCCTCTTTACCCCACTTCACCTCTATTACCTCCATTCACTTCTCTCCTCCCGTCTTCCCTCTTCCTCCTCCTCCTCCCTCTCACTCACCTCTCTCCACCTCTCCAGCCTGCATCAACTTCTCAACGTGCATCCCAGGGACGCGCATTCGGGGCGAAGCAGCTGTGGCGGAAGCACAGCAGGAGGTGTCGTGTGTGGCGGAGGATGGCAAGTGGGTGCGCTTCAACACGCCCCGCTGGCTGCCCTGGTCCCGCGACCCCCACACCAACCCGCGCGCGCCTCACTACGGCACGTGTGATCTCCTGCATGTTAACGAGTGAGTGCCTCCTGCGAGGTGCTTCCTTTGAGGTGCCTCACGGCCGATCTGTTGCATTTTAACAAGTAAGTGGGGCGTTTGTTAGCGCGAGTGAGTGAGTGAGCGAGTGAGTGAGTGAGTGAGTGAGTGAGCGAGTGAGTGAGTGAGTGAGTGAGTGAGTGAGCGAGTGAGGGAGGCACAGCAGGAGGTGTCGTGTGTGGCGGAGGATGGCAAGTGGGTGCGCTTCCACACGCCCCGCTGACTGCCCTGGTCTTGGGACCCCCACACCAACCCACACGCCCCGCACTACGGCAATTGTGATCTCCTGCATGTTAACGAGTGAGTGCTTCCTTTGTGGTGCCTGAAAGTAGTGAGTGCATTGCATGCGTGCTGGTCCCGGGATCCCCACACCAACCCACGTGCTCCGCACTACGGCACTTGTGATTTCCTTCATGTGAACGAGTGAGTGGTGCTTGGGATATCTTTGGAAGGGTATGGCCTATGTCTGAGTAAGTGAGTGATTTGCACATCTTTTTGTCCCGCGACCCCCACACCAACCCGCGCGTGCCGCACCACAACATGTGCGATCTGCTGCATGTTAACGAGTTAGTGCCCCCTTTGGTGGGGGTTTATTTGAGGTGCTTCATTTGAGGTGCTTCATTTGAGGTGCTTCCTTTGAGGTGCTTCCTTTGAGGTGCTTCATTTGAGGTGCTTCCTTTGAGGTGCTTCCTTTGAGGTGCTTCATTTGAGGTGCTTCCTTTGAGGTGCTTCATTTGAGGTGCTTCCTTTGAGGTGCTTCATTTGAGGTGCTTCCTTTGAGGTGCTTCCTTTGAGGTGCTTCCTTTGAGGTGCTTCCTTTGAGGTGCTTCATTTGAGGTGCTTCCTTTGAGGTGCTTCCTTTGAGGTGCTTCCTTTGAGGTGCTTCCTTTGAGGTGCTTCATTTGAGGTGCTTCCTTTGAGGTGCTTCCTTTGAGGTGCTTCCTTTGAGGTGCTTCCTTTGAGGTGCTTCCTTTGAGGTGCTTCCTTTGAGGTGCTTCCTTCGAGATGCCTCATGTATCTGAGACCTGCTGCATGTCATGTCAACAAGTGAGTGGCGCGTGAGTGAGCGAGTGAGTGAGCAAGGTGCAGCAGGAGGGTGTCGTGAGTGGCAGAGGATGGCAAGTAGGTGCGTTTCTCTCAGGCTGAATCACCTCCCTCTACCTTCGCCCTTATCTTCTCTCCTTCTTTTCCTCTCATCTCGTTTCCCCACCTTCCCAACCCCCTACCTCCAACCCCCCTGCCTACCCTACTCTCAGAACTGGAGGCAAGGGCATGTACGGCTTTGCAGCGGACAAGTTTCGGAAGAACCCGGGAGACCGGGAGTGGCACGTGCGGGCGGAGCTGAAATACCAGTGGAAGTCCAACCGCTTCTGCCCTCCCTTCATGGGGTTCAACTCAACCTGCCTTTCCTCCTCCCCTCCCATCTCCGTCGCCCTCTCTCCTTCCGTTTCTCCTCTCGTGTCCCCTCCCCGCCTCCCCACCTCCCCAACCCCCAACTTCCAATCCCCTCATTCTCCCCGCTGTCAGGACCGGAGGCAAGGGCATGTACGGCTTTGCAGCGGACAAGTTCCGGAAGAACCCGGGCGACCAGGAGTGGCACGTGCGGGCAGAGCTCAAGTACCAGTGGAAGTCCAACCGCTTCTGCCCGCCCTTCATGGGGTTCAACCGACACAAGTTCTGTGCGGCGGTGGGGCAGCGCAACGTGCTGTTTGTGGGGGACACGACGCAGCTGGCGCTGCACGACGTGTTTCTCAACCACGTAACCACCATCGCCACGCAGAAGGAGATTGGGGACATCGCTGATGCCTGGTGAGGGGTGCACGCTGTGTATACGTTGGGGGTTGGGATGTAGGGGTGGGGGTTTAGAGGTTCGCTGTGCCGCTTCTGCCCGCCCTTCATGGGGTTCAACCGACACAAGTTCTGTGCGGCGGTGGGGCAGCGCAACGTGCTGTTTGTGGGGGACACGACGCAGCTGGCGCTGCACGACGTGTTTCTCAACCACGTGACCACGATTGCCACACACAAGGAGATTGGGGATATCGCTGACGCCTGGTGAGTTGAGGGAGGGGTGCGCTGTCCTGTCCGTGCGGTGCGTGTGTGGTGGAGGCTGTGATTCATGGTAGTGACAGTTGGGATTGTCTTTCGGTGGTGGGGGCTAGCATGCGTGGAGGAGGGGATTCGCAGTGCCAGGTTTTAAGCGAGCATTCTTAAGGGCCCTAATGTGCCCATCCCTGCTCGTTCTCCCCTCTCCCCAACGGCAGGACGGCACCCAACAACCAGCCGGCATGTGCCACCACCAACCCCCACGTGGTGTGCTCGGACATTGTCCCAGGGGGCTTCACCTTCCGTGTCGCCCACAACAACCTGCTCACGCCCGACTCGCCGGGAGGGGGAGCATTCAACCAGCGGTGGCTGGGGCATTTGAAAAAATGGAACGTGTCCATTGTGGTTCTCAACAAGGGCTTTGAGCGGCGACCAAGTGAGTGCTGGGTGGAAGGGAGATGGCTGGGGGAACAGTGGTTTGGGAAACAGTAGTTTGGGGTACAGTGGCTGGGGACTGACTCGCCCAGGGGAGGGGCGTTCAACCAGTAGTGGCTGGGATATCTGAGAACATGGAACGTGTCCGTTATGGTGCTCAACAAAGGCTTTGAGCGTCGCCCCAGTGAGTGCGGCTTCAAGGGGAGGCGTAGTGGTCGGGGGAACAGTGGCTGGGGCAGAGTGATTTGTGAAACATGGGAACGGTGGTTGGGGGAACAGTGGTTTGGGAGGAAGTGGTCAGGGTGCCGCAGCAGTCGCCCACAATAACTGGCTGACGCCCGACTCTTTCGGGGGAGGGGCGTTGAACCAGCGTTGGGTGGGGCACCTGGGGCTGTGGAACGTGTCCATTGTGGCTCTCAACAAAGGCTTCGAGCGCTGCCCTATTGAGTGCTGCTAGGGGAGCAGTGACACAGTGACTGAGGGGACGGTGGTCAAGGGGACAGTGGTTGGGGGAGCGTTCAACCAGCGGTGGGTGGGGCACCTGCGGCAGTGGAATGGAATGTGTCCATTGTGGTTTTCAAAAAGGGATTCGAGCGCCATCCAGTGAGTGCTGTACTGCTGCTTCAAGGGCAGGGAGACTCGGATACCAAGGGGATGGTGGTTAGGATGGCATTCAACCCAAAACAAGTGCTGGCTTGACAAAGTGGGCAAGTGAAACATTGTTGACTTAAGTTCTCAAGTGACTATTTGACAATATATCAATTCCCTTTCTGAATCATCCCATTATCTATTTCTTATACCCCCCCCCCCCTTCTTCCGTTCCCAGCCCCGGTTTATCTGAAGACGCTCCGTCAGACGCTCACGAAATTCCGCCAGGTGGCGCCTGACACCCTGCTGATCTGGCGATCCACGTGGCGCGGCCATGAGGGCTGTGAGAATGCCACGGAGCCATTGGCAGCGCCGCCCGATAACGCCACCCGGGCTGGGCCATGGGCATTTGTATTGGAGCAGAACGAGGCGGTGCGGGATGTGATCCGGGTGAGTTGGATGCAATGGGTAAGAGCATTTTGCTCCTAGCTTCAGGGTTCAGTATAGATGCATACCATTTTTAGAAATCCACATGTTCGGTGATTCTTCTCCTGCCCCCTGTTATCCCTCCTTGCGCAGGAATTTGGTGGTGTGTACATGAATCTGGATGCATCCTTGTCAATGCGACCAGATGGGCACCTACGTCAATTGAATGGCCTCACAGATTGCTACTACTACTGCTTGCCTGGTCCTGTTGACCACTTCATGCGGCTTTTCTACAACTACCTCCTCATCCTCGATAGCAAAGGGCCAGTCTTGCCAGCTCAAGGAGGGAACAGAAGATAGCAAGAGGACTAGAAAATTATTGTACGGAGTTTTGGTTTGTTATATCAGCGTGTTACAGTCTTTACAATTTTGGCTTGGGCTTGTACGATACCGAGCATTTCACCGAGGATCTTGTTTGGTCGTGGACTTGAAAAGGGGCGCGAAGGCATCTTTTCACCAATCAAAATCTACCATCGTGATGCGGCTTTCTGGACGATCCTGCCTTTCGCACTACCTAGGGCCTACTGAACGGCCTCGATTGCGAGATCTTGGAGCTGGGCCCGATTCATCTTTTCTGGACCAATCCATACAAATGGTTTCAGTCCATCTCCATCGTCCATGAATTCCGCATCGACGGCTGTATGCCGTTAGCGCCTGGAGAACAGGCAGATCTGTTTCCTTGGGATATGCGTGTTCTGGCAATGGCGTCACAGAAGATAAGAGATGAGGGAGGTTGATTGATAGATTGAGTTGAGAGCGCTCCAGCCAGTCCAGCTAACTACGGATGTAGGGACGACGTTGCAGTCCAGTCTAGTATATCCTTGCACTGGGAGTGCATTCTAGGGAGAAAGATTTTATTAGAAAACTTTAGAGTATGAACCAGTCCGTAATAATATATTTTTTAGACAACGGGTTTCCAGCATTCCTCCTACGGTGAACCCTGTCATCCAACGTTGAGCCCATTTCACTCTTTATTGACCAGCATTTTCCTCCTCTTCTGGTGATACTTGCTTTGTTAGTAACATTCCCAATAACGGGTTTCCAGCATTCATCCGCACGGTGAATCCTGTCAACCAGCAGTAACCACACTTCACTCCCTCCTGACCAGCACCTTCCTCCTCTCTGTTAACACTTGCTTTTTCAGCGATTTCCTTGAGACTACCGAGCCGTCGTGACAGCACTTAAGCATTTTCCATTTTTCGGTGTTTAGTGAGAGCACCGCTGAATTTGTCCCCAATGGCATCGGTCGCGTGGGACCCTCCCCGCCATTGCTGGCGCGTCGCTCGGCCTCTTCCCGCCGTGATTCGCGCGTCCGCATGTCGGAAGGGCGGAGTTAGTCAGCTCAAGAGCAGCCACCGACGGCTCTTAATTCTGACCGCCAAGCCGAAATGGCGACACGGTACGGACCTAATCACTGTTCTGTTTCATCTTTTGAGGCATCTCAAAAGGTATCAGTCAGCTCAGGAGCAGCCACCGACGGCTCTGACCGCCAAGCCGAAATGGCGCTACGGTACTGACCTGACCGCTCTTCTGCTTTGATTTTCGTTTTCCACTTTGTCTCACAGTTTGCCAGTCTGCCAGTTTGTCAGTCCCCTTGTACCAAATAACGTTCTTGCTGCTTTCTTAAAGCCAGCAATGTAGGCTTTTCCAGGCACCGTTCTCAGGCTCATTGAATGACTTGGTTCTCCTCGCCGAGCTCATCGTGGCTTTTGAGGAGACTTTTGAGCCGACTCAAAAGTCACACTGAAACCAGCAATGCGGGCTTTTCCATTCAAAGTTCTCAGGCTCATTGAATGGCTAGGTTCTCCTCGCCGAGCCCATCGTCCCCTGCTTGTCCCCCGGCTTTCAGTTACCTGCTTGTCCCCTGAAACTTCTGTTACCTTTTTGTTCCCTGATTCCCACATTCCTGCCACCAGTAATGTTCAAGCGTAGCAGCCAGAAATGCCACGCGTCTCATTCAGAGTTCAACGGAAAGTAAGACCCTGCTTCCACTTCCCCTGCCTGCTCCACTTCCTCCTCTGCTCCACGTTCGCCCTCTGATTCTACTTTGCAATTTTCCCGCTTCTTATCTCACCATCCCATCCCAGTTCCACTTTCAGGGTAACTCACCTCACCCAGCTTCTTATCTCTTCCCTCATCGTCTCACACACAAGCAGGTCTCATGTCCCTCGCAACGGGCACGGCAACGGCTATTCCCGCTGGTCCCGCGACCAATCAGCTGCTTCATCCCCACCTCCGGCGTCCGCCCCCAACCGAGCGAGTCACCACCACGACGGAGCAAGCCATGGGAAGGGATATGAGGGGCTGTATGGGGGGACCCGGTATGAAGGGCGCCATGGGAGAGGGTTCGGGAGAGGAGACGTTAGAGGGTACGCTCAGAGTGGGTCCGAGCGGCCTGCTAACCCTGGCGCTTCCCCTTCTCCCTCCTCGTCTACCTCCCCTTCCGCTTCCTCCTCTCCTTCGTTCGGCCAGTCCGCCGCCGCACACTCCCCCTCCTCGCCTGCCTCTTCAACCGCTTCGCCAGATTCGAATCCTGCAGCTGCGGGGGCTGTGGGTGCTGCGTCTGGAGAGTTTCCGTTTCAATCGCATCACACGATCCTGGACGTTGATCAGGTTGATCCGACGGCTGGCGACGCTGCCGCGTGGGGTGGGCTGGATTCGACTGTAGCAGCAGCGGCGTGGAAGAGGAGCTTTCTAAAGCGGGTGGTTAACACGATCACCGATTCCAAGTACTTCAATGTAAGCACAGAAACCCCCGTGCATTTAGGCGAATTGTAAGGCGCCTAAAATATCAGCAGTGGCGTGGAAGAGGAGCTTTATGAAGAGGGTGGTTGACACGATCACCGATTCCAAGTACTTCAATGTAAGCGCATGGTGATGCAAGCACAGGGAGATGCAAGCACTTGAACCCGAGGTGCCTCATTAGACTAATTTCTTGAAGAGGGTGGTTGACACCATTACCGATTCCAAATACTTCAGTGTAAGCACAGGGCAGTATAAGCACATCAGGTTTATGCACACTGGCTATTTCCACAGCGAGTGTAATGCCACACGCTGAATTTAATGCCCACAGCTGGAAGTGCAGAGAGACGTGTCCCATAGTCCTCTCTTTCGTTCTCTTTCCCTCATTGTTTCCCCCTCCCACCTTCCGTTCCCGGCCCTCCCTCCAACCTCTCCCGTCCACTCATATCATCCTCCCCGACCCCCTTCCTTACCGCCTTGCTCCACTGCTCCACCCCTCTCCTCTTCGCCAATCAGCTGAAGAAAGCTGGATGGCTCATGGCGGGGGCTGCCACGGCGGCCGTGGGCGTGCAGGTCACAGCACACATCATTCAGGTGAGATGAATGGGTACGTCGTTTGGGTAAGTGAGATGAAACGCGTACGTCGTTTGGGTAAGTGAGATGAAACGCGCATGTCATTCAGGCGACATAAAAAGCACGTCGTCCAGGTGAGATGAAACACGCTCCATTTCCAAAAAAAAAAAACCTCCCCCATTCTCCCTCCCCTCCCCCCAGGCCATCGAGTCCGTCCCCCTGCTTGCTTCTCTGGAAATTCTCATCGGCGCTGCTGTCACCACCAACGTCGCCACCACTATCGCTGGAGGGGGGGAAGGTGAGGGCGGTAGAAGATGAAAAGCAGGCGTTATGGGGGGGAGGTTGGGAAAAGGGAGAGGACACGAGAGATTGAGCACTGAAGAAGGGAAGATTGTGGGGAAAAGGGCGAGCTGTGTTGCTAAAGGGGGTAGGTATAGGGGACAGTGAGAGTCGGAAGGTAGTGGGAAGGTTGGGGGGTTGATTTGTAACGCCATTTAAAGCGCCCCCGTCTCACCTCCTTGTCTCTCCCTCTCCACCCCTCCTCCTCCCTCCTCACCTCCTCCCTCCACCCCTCGTCCGCCCCTCTCTTCCCCCCCGTGCGCCCACCCTCCCCCCGTCCCCACGCCCCCATCAGCGCGCGAGCGCCTGGAGCAGCAGTGGGACGAGTTTGTGAAACGAGTCAGCGGCACGTACGGGTTGTCGGACCCGGTGTTTGATGAGATGGAGAGCGGCAAGGACCTTGAGGTGTGCTGAGTGTGGTTTGTTTGTGCATGAGGCTGGATGGCTCACGTGTGGCATGGCATGTGCTCTTTGAGTCAACAGTCAGTGGGTCAGTCAGTGGCACGTACGGGCTGTCCGACCCGGTGTTTGATGAGATGGAGAGCGGCAAGGACCTGGAGGTGCGTTTTGTGCTATCTCTGTGCACGTGGGTGGTTCGTTGACTGGTTCATGTGGCATGTGTTCGTTGAGTCAAGCAACACGTACGGGCTGTCGGACCCGGCGTTTGATGACATGGAGCGAGGCAAGGACCTTGAGGTGCGTTTTGTGCTATCTCTGTGCACGTGGGTGGTTCGTTGACTGGTTCATGTGGCATGTGTTCGTTGAGTCAAGCAACACGTACGGGCTGTCGGTCGGACCTGGTGTTTGATGACACGGAGGGGGGCAAGGACCTTGAGGTGCAATTTCTCATTTGAGTGGTTCTTTGGCTGGCTGATTTGGCATTTGTGCATCTCCGCTGCACATTCAGAATCTCTGACCAAGGAAAAGTCATATTTTTCCCTCTCTCACTCGCAACCAGAACCCCAAAACCACTGCTCCACACATCCCTCCTCCCCTTTTTCTCCACGCAAAGACCCCGCTCTTCCCCTTTTTCTCCACGCGAAGACCCCGCTCTTCCCCTTTTCCTCCACGCGAACACCCCGCTCTTCCCAAGTGACTTTTGAGTGGACTCAAAAGTCGCTCCACACATCCATCCCTCCTCCCCTTTCTCTCCACGCGATCACCCCGCTCTTCCCCCTTTCCTTCCACACACAACACACGCGCACATGCTACAGGCTCAAATACAGGACCTGCTGTCGCAGTGCAGTGCGCTTTTAGCCGATGCAGCACTGCAGCAGGGCGAGCAGAGGCCCCCACACCTCGGAGGCAACACATCAGGAGGAACCCAGCAGCAGAGGGAGACGCGGGCAGCAGAGGGACTGCGGAGGGCCGCAGAGGGACTTGGTCTCAAGGCAGAGGGCAACACAGGAAAGGAGACAGAGCCTGCAAACAGCACAGGAGAGGAGACAGAGGGGGAGGAGCTAGAGGAAGGGGAAGGGAAGGGAAGGGGCGGAGAGGCTGATCCTGAGGTGGCTCAGAGGAAGGCTGGCGGGGAGGAGGGGGAGGAAGCAGTGGTGGCAGTGAGGAAGGCGGAGCTGGTGCGGGTGTTATCTGAGTTCGTGGAGAGGAGGGAGGGCCGGGCGAGGCGGGTGAACCGCATGCTGCAGCAGGAGGCGCAGGCGGGTAGAGGGCTGGAGGAGCGACTGGGAGATCTCACCAAGGTGAGAGTTTGGGACTGGTGAATTGGGGTGTGGGTGAGGTGACTTCTAACCCAATTTAAGAGTCACAGCAGGAGGTTCAGGCTGGCAGAGGGCTGCAGGAGCGACTGGTGCAGGTTCAATGCATGAGGCCCACCGTCTCATGCAGTTTCTACACCATGCTATGCTATGTCATGCACATAGTCCTACCTATGCCCCCAATCCCAGTGTGTTCCCTGCCATGCTGCCAATGCTGACAGGCGTTGGAGGTGCGCACACTGGTGCCTGTGGCAGCAGCACAGAACGCCATGCCATGCCATGCCATGCCATGCCATGACACGACATGCCATGACTTATCATTCGCATGCTCGCCTTGCTCTGCCGAATCTGTCAATGCTGACAGGCGCTGGAGGTGCGCACATTGGCGTCCGTGGCAGCAGCACAGAACGTGGCCCGCCTGCAGGCACTAAACGACTCGCTGCAGGTGAGCTGAGCGGACTGTGTGGGCTGTGTGGGCTGTGTGCGCTAAGCTAACCCGCTTGGAGATGTGAGAGTGTGGAGAGAATGTGGTGATGTGAGGGTATCACTTGTAGCAGCACCACAGAACGTGGCCCGCCTGCAGGCACTAAAGGACTCGCTGCAGGTGAGCTGTGTGGGCTGTACGGGCTGTGTGGGCTGTACGGGACAGTAAGTGCTGATGGGATACTCGCCGATGGGGCTGATGGACATGCTGTATTGAGGGATACTCGCTGCAGGTGAGATGGGCGGCTGTACACAGGCACGTGGCAGTAAATGGTATGTGCCTTTCAACAACTTTCATACTTTCCGTACCCCTCCCATACCCCTCCCATACCCCTCCCATACCCCTCCCATACCCCTCCCATACCCCTCCCATACCCCTCCCATACCCCTCCCATACCCCTCCCATACCCCTCCCATACCCCTCCCATACCCCTCCCATACCCCTCCCATACCCCTCCCATACCCCTCCCATACCCCTCCCATACCCCTCCCATACCCCTCCCATACCCCTCCCATACCCCTCCCATACCCCTCCCATACCCCTCCCATACCCCTCCCATACCCCTCCCATACCCCTCCCATACCCCTCCCATACCCCTCCCATACCCCTCCCATACCCCTCCCATACCCCTCCCATACCCCTCCCATACCCCTCCCATACCCCTCCCATACCCCTCCCATACCCCTCCCATACCCCTCCCATACCCCTCCCATACCCCTCCCATACCCCTCCCATACCCCTCCCATACCCCTCCCATACCCCTCCCATACCCCTCCCATACCCCTCCCATACCCCTCCCATACCCTCCCATACCCCTCCCATACCCCTCCCATACCCCTCCCATACCCCTCCCATACCCCTCCCATACCCCTCCCATACCCCTCCCATACCCCTCCCATACCCCTCCCATACCCCTCCCATACCCCTCCCATACCCCTCCCATACCCCTCCCATACCCCTCCCATACCCCTCCCATACCCCTCCCATACCCCTCCCATACCCCTCCCATACCCCTCCCATACCCCTCCCATACCCCTCCCATACCCCTCCCATACCCCTCCCATACCCCTCCCATACCCCTCCCATACCCCTCCATACCCCTCCCATACCCCTGCCATACCCCTGCCATACCCCTGCCATACCCCTGCCATACCCCTGCCATACCCCTGCCATACCCCTGCCATACCCCTGCCATACCCCTGCCATACCCCTGCCATACCCCTCCATACCCCTCCCATACCCCTCCCATACCCCTCCCATACCCCTCCCATACCCCTCCCATACCCCTCCCATACCCCTCCCATACCCCTCCCATACCCCTCCCATACCCCTCCCATACCCCTCCCATACCCCTCCCATACCCCTCCCATACCCCTCCCATACCCCTCCCATACCCCTCCCATACCCCTCCCATACCCCTCCCATACCCCTCCCATACCCCTCCCATACCCCTCCCATACCCCTCCCATACCCCTCCCATACCCCTCCCATACCCCTCCCATACCCCTCCCATACCCCTCCCATACCCCCCCTCCCATACCCCTCCCATACCCCTCCCATACCCCTCCCATACCCCTCCCATACCCCTCCCATACCCCTCCCATACCCCTCCCATACCCCTCCCATACCCCTCCCATACCCCTCCCATACCCCTCCCATACCCCTCCCATACCCCTCCCATACCCCTCCCATACCCCTCCCATACCCCTCCCATACCCCTCCCATACCCCTCCCATACCCCTCCCATACCCCTCCCATACCCCTCCCATACCCCTCCCATACCCCTCCCATACCCCTCCCATACCCCTCCCATACCCCTCCCATACCCCTCCCATACCCCTCCCATACCCCTGCCATACCCCTCCCATACCCCTGCCATACCCCTGCCATACCCCTGCCATACCCCTGCCATACCCCTGCCATACCCCTGCCATACCCCTGCCATACCCCTGCCATACCCCTGCCATACCCCTGCCATACCCCTGCCATACCCCTGCCATACCCCTGCCATACCCCTGCCATACCCCTGCCATACCCCTGCCATACCCCTGCCATACCCCTGCCATACCCCTGCCATACCCCTGCCATACCCCTGCCATACCCCTGCCATACCCCTGCCATACCCCTCCCATACCCCTCCCATACCCCTCCCATACCCCTCCCATACCCCTCCCATACCCCTCCCATACCCCTCCCATACCCCTCCCATACCCCTCCCATACCCCTCCCATACCCCTCCCATACCCCTCCCATACCCCTCCCATACCCCTCCCATACCCCTCCCATACCCCTCCCATACCCCTCCCATACCCCTCCCATACCCTCCCATACCCCTCCCATACCCCTCCCATACCCCTCCCATACCCCTCCCATACCCCTCCCATACCCCTCCCATACCCCTCCCATACCCCTCCCATACCCCTCCCATACCCCTCCCATACCCCTCCCATACCCCTCCCATACCCCTCCATACCCCTCCCATACCCCTCCCATACCCCTCCCATACCCCTCCCATACCCCTCCCATACCCCTCCCATACCCCTCCCATACCCCTCCCATACCCCTCCCATACCCCTCCCCTCCCATACCCCTCCCATACCCCTCCCATACCCCTCCCATACCCCTCCCATACCCCTCCCATACCCCTCCCATACCCCTCCCATACCCCTCCCATACCCCTCCCATACCCCTCCCATACCCCTCCCATACCCCTCCCATACCCCTCCCATACCCCTCCCATACCCCTCCCATACCCCTCCCATACCCTCCCATACCCCTCCCATACCCCTCCCATACCCCTCCCATACCCCTCCCATACCCCTCCCATACCCCTCCCATACCCCTCCCATACCCCTCCCATACCCCTCCCATACCCCTCCCATACCCCTCCCATACCCCTCCCATACCCCTCCCATACCCCTCCCATACCCCTCCCATACCCCTCCCATACCCCTCCCATACCCCTCCCATACCCCTCCCATACCCCTCCCATACCCCTCCCATACCCCTACCCCTCCCATACCCCTCCCATACCCCTCCCATACCCCTCCCATACCCCTCCCATACCCCTCCCATACCCTCCCATACCCCTCCCATACCCCTCCCATACCCCTCCCATACCCCTCCCATACCCCTCCCATACCCCTCCCATACCCCTCCCATACCCCTCCCATACCCCTCCCATACCCCTCCCATACCCCTCCCATACCCCTCCCATACCCTCCCATACCCCTCCCACCCCTCCCATACCCCTCCCATACCCCTCCCATACCCCTCCCATACCCCTCCCATACCCCTCCCATACCCCTCCCATACCCCTCCCATACCCCTCCCATACCCCCCCATACCCCTCCCATACCCTCCCATACCCCCCCATACCCCTCCATACCCCTCCCATACCCCTCCCATACCCCTCCCATACCCCTCCCATACCCCTCCCATACCCCTCCCATACCCCTCCCATACCCCTCCCATACCCTCCCATACCCCTCCCATACCCCCCCATACCCCTCCCATACCCCTCCCCCCATACCCCTCCCATACCCCTCCCATACCCCTCCCATACCCCTCCCATACCCCCCCCCATACCCCTCCCATACCCCTCCCATACCCCTCCCATACCCCTCCCATACCCCTCCCATACCCCTCCCATACCCTCCCATACCTCCCATACCCCTCCCATACCCCTCCCATACCCCTCCCATACCCCTCCCATACCCCTCCCCCCCTACCCATACCCCTCCCATACCCCTCCCATACCCCTCCCATACCCCTCCCATACCCCTCCCATACCCCTCCCATACCCCTCCCATACCCCTCCCATACCCCTCCCATACCCTCCCATACCCCTCCCATACCCCTCCCATACCCCTCCCATACCCCTCCCATACCCCTCCCATACCCCTCCCATACCCCTCCCATACCCCTCCCATACCCCCCCATACCCCTCCCATACCCCTCCCATACCCCTCCCATACCCCTCCCATACCCCTCCCATACCCCTCCCATACCCCCCCATACCCCTCCCATACCCCTCCCATACCCCTCCCATACCCCTCCCATACCCCTCCCATACCCCTCCCATACCCCTCCCATACCCCTCCCATACCCCTCCCATACCCCTCCCATACCCCTCCCATACCCCTCCCATACCCCTCCCATACCCCTCCCATACCCCTCCCATACCCCTCCCATACCCCTCCCATACCCCTCCCATACCCCTCCCATACCCTCCCATACCCCCCCATACCCCTCCCATACCCCTCCCATACCCCTCCCATACCCCTCCCATACCCCTCCCATACCCCTCCCATACCCCTCCCATACCCCTCCCATACCCCTCCCCTCCCATACCCCTCCCATACCCCTCCCATACCCCTCCCATACCCCTCCCATACCCCTCCCATACCCCTCCCATACCCCTCCCATACCCCTCCCATACCCCTCCCATACCCCTCCCATACCCCTCCCATACCCCTCCCATACCCCTCCCATACCCCTCCCATACCCCCCCATACCCCCCCATACCCCCCCATACCCCCCCATACCCCCCCATACCCCCCCATACCCCTCCCATACCCCTCCCATACCCCTCCCATACCCCTCCCATACCCCTCCCATACCCCTCCCATACCCCTCCCATACCCCTCCCATACCCCTCCCATACCCCCCCATACCCCCCTATACCCCTCCCATACCCCCCCCCTTCCATACCCCTCCATGCCTCTCCCATGCCTTCTCCTCTTCTGCCCCAAATCCTCCCACATCCCCTCCCACACCCCCTCCCACACACTCTGCCCCTGCGTCTCCCCCTGCCCCTCCGACGCCACTCCCCCCTGACCGTGTGATGGCAGGCGGAGCGACTTTTGAGACGTCTCAAAAGCCCTCCCACACACTCTGCCCCTGCTTCCCCCCCTGCCCCTCCCACGCCACTCCCCCCTGACCGTGTGATGGCAGGCGGAGCGACTTTTGAGACGTCTCAAAAGCCCTCCCACACACTCTGCCCCTGCTTCCCCCCCTGCCCCTCCCACGCCACTCCCCCCTGACCGTGTGATGGCAGGCGGAGCGACTTTTGAGACGTCTCAAAAGCCCTCCCACACACTCTGCCCCTGCGTCTCCCCCTGCCCCTCCCACGCCACTCCCCCTGACCGTGTGATGGCAGGCGGAGCGACTTTTGAGACGTCTCAAAAGCCCTCCCACACACTCTGCCCCTGCTTCCCCCTCTGCCCCTCCCACGCCACTCCCCCCTGACCGTGTGATGGCAGGCGGAGCGACTTTTGAGACGTCTCAAAAGCCCTCCCACACACTCTGCCCCTGCTTCCCCCCCTGCCCCTCCCACGCCACTCCCCCCTGACCGTGTGATGGCAGGCGGAGCGACTTTTGAGACGTCTCAAAAGCCCTCCCACACACTCTGCCCCTGCTTCCCCCCCTGCCCCTCCCACGCCACTCCCCCCTGACCGTGTGATGGCAGGCGGAGCGACTTTTGAGACGTCTCAAAAGCCCTCCCACACACTCTGCCCCTGCTTCCCCCTCTGCCCCTCCCACGCCACTCCCCCCTGACCGTGTGATGGCAGGCGGAGCGACTTTTGAGACGTCTCAAAAGCCCTCCCACACACTCTGCCCCTGCTTCCCCCCCTGCCCCTCCCACGCCACTCCCCCCTGACCGTGTGATGGCAGGCGGAGCGACTTTTGAGACGTCTCAAAAGCCCTCCCACACACTCTGCCCCTGCTTCCCCCCCTGCCCCTCCCACGCCACTCCCCCCTGACCGTGTGATGGCAGGCGGAGCGACTTTTGAGACGTCTCAAAAGCCCTCCCACACACTCTGCCCCTGCTTCCCCCCCTGCCCCTCCCACGCCACTCCCCCCTGACCGTGTGATGGCAGGCGGAGCGCAACAGTGTGTCGAGTCAGCTGTCCGCGTTGACCAATCAGATCACAGGGCTGTCCACGTCACTGGACGTGCTAACGAGGCAGCAGGACTCCGTGTCCCAGTCCAACACGGTGGTGAGCGGTGACGTGCGGTGTGTGTGGGTGGGTGTGTGTGTATGTGTTGCGCGTGTGTGTGCATGTGTTCACTCGTGTGTGGGGTGGGGAGGAAGGTGGGGAGGGGGGTAACGTGTGGGCAAGTGTAACGCGCACTTGAGTGCAAAACTTGAGTGCAAGTGCTACCTTTGTACCTTCCCCATCCCCCATACCCTTTCCGCCAATAACTCAATTTCTTCCCCATCCCTTTCTTTCCTTCCCCAGATCTGTGAACTCCTCAACATGCCTTCACTACCGCTTCCCAACCCCTTTTCTCCCCCTTTCCTCCTTCCCCTTCTTCCCCTTTTCCCCCTTCTCCTCTCCCCCCCCCCTCCCCCCCCCCCCCCTGTCTTGCCAGCTACGCGCTCGCCTGCGCAAGGCGCTGCTAGAGAAGCGCCAGCTGGCGCAATCATTGCGGGCGGCGCACCGCGTGCAGAGCGAGCGGGCGAGCGATGTGGAGGGGCGGCTGCGGGCGGTGGGGGCGCAGCTGAGGGCGAGCGAGGAGGCGATGGTGGCGCAGAGGAGAGAGGAGGAGGCGAATCTGCAGACGTACCTGTCCCAGCATGCTGCTATTAAGGTGTGTTGAGGGATGTGTAGAGGCAAGACATGCATGTGGAGGGGTGCGGAGGGGTGTGGTGGGGTGCGGAGGGGTGTGGTGGGGTGCGGAGGGGTGTGGTGGGGTGCGGAGGGGTGTGGAGGGATGTGGAGGGGTGTGAAGGGATGTGGAGGGGTGTGAAGGGACGTGGAGGGGTGTGAAGAGATGTGGAAGGGCGGCTGTGGGCGGTGGCAACTGTGGGTCATGTCATGTGTCCTCTCTTTCCTCTTTCCGTCTTTATATCTCCCCCCTTTTCCCCCCTCCCGTCTCCATCCAGTCAGAGCGCAATGCAGCGGTGGTGCAGGCGAGTGACTTGGAGCGCCGGGTGGCATCTGCGGAAGCGCAGTTGAAGGAGGTGACTCGCTCTCGCGACCACCTCTTCATCACCAACCACGAGGTACTGAATGCATCCCTTCTCATGGGGCACACCGTGCAGCACAATCACTGGCTAGTTGCTCTAGTAAGAGGGGGGCAACACCCAGTGGTGTCGGCAGAAGCTCAGTTGAAGGAGGTCACTCGCTCGCTCCCGCGACCACCTCTTCATCACCAACCACGAGGTACTGAATGCCTGCTGGTGGCAAGCGTGGGGAAGACGTGGGTACTGGCGGGGGAGAAATGTCTGATGGCACATAGTGACATCTGCTGCAGTGGCTCAGCTGAAGGAGGTCACTCGCTCCCGCGACTACCTCTTCATCACCATGAGGTACTGAATGCCTGCTGCTACCAAACATGGGCACACGTGGGGCACACGTGGGGCACACGCGGGGCACACGCGGGGAACACGCGGGGCACACGCGGGGAACACGTGGGGCACACGCGGGGCACACGCGGGGAACACGCAGGGCATGCATGGGACGCAGGTGGGGCATGGATGTCCGATTGCACATGGCGGCATCTGCCCCTGTTTTCCCCCTGAAACCACTATCTACCCCCATTGACATCCCATACTCAGCTGAACATGTGCTTGACAGCAGCGATAGGGGGAGAACAGAACAGGGTCCTCCAGCAGCGGGTGGATCAGCTGCAGCACAACAGCCAGCCGCCAGCCACTCCAGTGCCACCTTCAGAGACAGGGAGACAAAGACACAGATGCGATCCTCTCTGCTCACACCACTGTTCACCCCCTTTTGCCCCTGCTCACCCCTTTTCACCCGTTTGCATCCTTCTCTACCTCCCTAAAACACCCCTTCCCAGCTAAACACACGGCTGGCTGACAGCAGCGATGACTGAAAACAGGCTTTTACAGCAGCGGGTGGATCAGCTGCAGCGCACCAACCGCCACTCCGCTGCTGCTTTCAGGGACCGAGAAGCAAAGACACTGAGGGAATTCTCTCCACCCCTTTTCACCCACTTCCACCCCCTTCCACCCTTATCTACTTCCATAAACGCTTACTCCACAGCTGAATACGCGCTTGACAGCAGCAATGACTGAAAACCGGCTCCTGCACCAGCGGGTGGATCAGCTGCAGCGCACCAGCCGCCACTCCGCTGCCGCCTTCAGAGACAGGGAGGCCACCCTCAAGCAACACCTCGCGGAGCGCCATGCTGAGCTGGCAGCCTCCCGCCAGCAGGCGGCTGCTGAGCTGGCACAAGTGACGTCCAGGCTGGAAGCCAAAGTGGTAAACGGCTCTCCTATTCCCTTTTGAGAATTCTCAACAGAATTCTCAACAATGGTAAGTGATCTCCAACTCGTAGTGCATATCCAGGGACAGTTGTTATTGGGCTGTAACGCGCTCGTCCCTGGATATGCAGTAACAACTGTTGAGCGAAAGGAACGATAACAACGTATTGGACATTTCCCTTCCTTTCTGAATCCCCCCCCCCCTCATCACTCTCCCGTGTCATCCCCCCCCCCCTCATCACTCTCCCGTGTCATCCCCCCCCCCTCATCACTCTCCCGTGTCATCCCCCCCCCCTCATCACTCTCCCGTGTCACCCTCAATCTCGGTGCCATGAATTGCTGCAAGCAGCGCCGCAGGAGATTGCAGAGAGCAAGGGCGAGGTGAGGTGGCTGGCTGGAGAGACATGTGGAAACAACCCTTTCCTCCTTTTCGCCCGTGATGCTGCAGGGTATTTTTGAGAATTCTCAAAAATATCCTACGAGGTGAGGTGGCTGGAGAAACATGTGGAAACAACCTTTTCCTTGTTTTCGCCCGATGCCCCCTGTGTTTGGTGCACGAGCACAGAGAGCAGCACAGGAGGAGGTGGAGGAGAGCAAGGGGGAGGTGAGGTGGCTGGAGGAACAGGTGGAGTCGCTGCGGGAGGAGGGGCTGCTGCACACAACACGGCTGCGAGCTGCTGTGGCTGCTGCGGAGAAGCGGGCGGAAGAGGTGAGAGAGAGGAGAGGGAGGCAATGTGCGAGAGAGAGTCTGCTGGTTCTTTCTGAGAAAGCTCGATAACACGTTCAGGGAAGAGGGTTTGCTTGGGCTTGACTCGTGTATGCATTTTGAGGATTCTGAAAAAACATTCTCGAAAACACGTTCAGGGAAGAGAGTTTGCTTGGGCTTGACTTGTGTATGCATTTTGAGGATTCTCAAAAAACATTCTTGAAAACACGTTCAGGGAAGAGAGTTTGCTTGGGCTTGACTCGTGTATGCATTTTGAGGATTCTCAAAAAACATTCTCGAAAACACGTCAGGGAAGAGAGTTTGCTTGGGCTTGACTTGTGTATGCATTTTGAGGATTCTCAAAAAACATTCTTGAAAACACGTTCAGGGAAGAGAGTTTGCTTGGGCTTGACTCGTGTATGCATTTTTGAGGATTCTCAAAAAGCATTCTCGAAAACACGTTCAGGGAAGAGAGTTTGCTTGGGCTTGACTCGTGTATGCATTTTGAGGATTCTCAAAAAACATTCTCGAAAACACGTTCAGGGAAGAGAGTTTGCTTGGGCTTGACTCGTGTCACTTCAAGCTGCTGCGCTGTGTGCCATGTGTCTCTGCCTGATTGCAGGAAGCCCAACGGGCCAATGAGCTGCAAGCGTTGCTTGCAGAGAGAAAGGAGGCGTCAGACAGGGAGAGGATGCTCCTGGAAGAAAAGGTCGCCTCACTACAGTCCAAATTGAGCGAGACGGAATTGAAGCTGGCTGCTACAGTGAATAGTGCTATAGCGACTGCCAGGTCAGCACTCCCGCCGCCCACCCCTGCCTCGCCAGTGGACGCCTCGTTACTGTCATTTGAGGGCTTTGGATCCAGCATTGAAAACAGTGAAGGCACTGATTATGCTGGTTCACTTGTCAGCAGCGCCAGCAGCACCAACAGTGGCAGCAGCAGCAACGACAGCGGCAACAGGAGAGGGAGGAAGAAGGGGGAGGAGAGCAAGAGCAGCAGCCCTGCCAGGCGTACAGGCGAGGAGGGGAGCACGGAGGGAGGCATGGAGGGGGCTGGGCTCGCCAAGGGGAGCAGTTTAGAGGGGACAGCGTTGGGTCAAGAGGGAAGCACAGAGGCAGGGGAGCCGGGCGAAGGTAGAAGTGCAAATGGGACAGCATTGGGTGAAGGGAGGAGCGCAGAGGTGGTGGAGATGAAGGAAGGTGGAGGCGGAGGTGAGGAGATGGAAGCAGGTGAGGCGAGCAATGAAGATGCGATGGGAGCAGGCGAGGAGAGCAGCACAAAGGAAAGAGCTGGAGGCATGCGCTTGAGCAAAGCTGCTGTTGAGGCTGAAGCCGAAGCTGAGGCCGAGGCTGAAGCCGAAGCTGAGGTTGAAACGTTGGCTGTTGCTGCAGATGCTGAGCTTGTTGCTGCTGCTACTGCTGCTGCTGGAGCTGTTCTTGTTGAAACTCAGGGTGATGGCAATGGTGTGGAGGGTGTTGGTGACGTGGACGCCCCTGTTGCAGCAATGGTGCGTGCAGAGGAGGAAGAAGCTGCTGCAGTCAGTGCTGATGCCGAATCAGTTGCTGCTGGGGCGGCTGCAGGGCCAACTGTTGGTGCAGAGGGTTCTGCTCTTGGAACGCCAAACGAAGCTGCTGGATCGCTGAACAAGCCTCTTGGATCGCCGAACGAGAATGACTTGAAGGTATGGTACCAGGATGACAAGGGGATGCATGAAGGCAGGATGATGGGGATGCCATCCTGCATGGCATGCTTTCATCCCCCAACAGCATCCCAGCTCCTGCTAAGGTTGTTCTTTCCTGTCTCCGTATCCTGCTGTCCCCTCTCCTCCTTATGGTCGTTACCCTTCACCCATCCCATCCCATTGCTGTCAGGTGTATGCGCGGGCCACCTTCCCTGCATATGTGGCACTTGACGCCTCCATCATGGAGTTATGAGATGTCTCAACACCCTAACCTCCTCATCGCCATCATCCTCCTCCCAATCCCAATGCCGCCATCAGGTGTATGCACGGGCCACCTTCCCTGCATATGTGTCTCTTGACGCCTCTATCATGGAGTTATGAGATGTCTCAACACCCTAACCTCCTTATCACCATCATCCTCCTCCCAATCCCAATGCCGCCATCAGGTGTATGCACGGGCCATCTTCCCTGCATATGTGGCACCTGACGCCTCCATTATGGAGCAGAGCCGAGGGGTGACAGCCATGGTGCAGGTACGGGAACTTGTGGTATGGTGAGAGTGCGTGTATGCAGGTATGGTAGTGCATGCAGGTATGGGAATACGGTGCATGTAGGTATGGCACTCGATTCATGTATGGTACCCCACACGTTTCCATTCTCCATGCATGTATGCTATCCCGTGCATTGATGGTGCTGCATGCATGCCTTCGCATAATGTCATCTCCAGTCATGTGTTATCCATGCATTCATTGCCATGGTATCTCAGGATATGGTCAAGATGGGAGCCGACAAATCATGGGCGAAACGTTATGTGGAAGAGGAGTTATTGAAACCTGCGCTGACACAACAAGTAGCCGTCGCAGCTGCTCGTGCGGTGGGCACTCGCACTCGAAGGAAGCAAGGAAGACAAGCCAAGGCAACTAACAGTAACACTGACAAATCAACTGATGAAGAATCAAATGCAGGAGACTTGGATGGAAAGGTGGTTATGAAGTAGACTTTGAGGCTTCAGCAATGAGCTATCACGATGCTGGTTTGAGTTGCAGCCTGTAAAGTGGATTGAATGGAGGTTGCTTTGCTCCACTCTTTCTTGCACATTGTAAGTGATTGATGGTTTGTGCGACCTTTCTAAGCTTATGTGGGAGAAGGTTTCCTACATAGCGGGTTTGCATCTGTGCCGGAGCTATCGGAACCCTCGATGGCTTGCTAGATCATCGCGGCCGTTGCGTAGAAAACGGGGGCATCTCGAAAGTATTTTGCTATTCTGGAACCAGTCTTACTTGTCTACACGGGAGGCGATTGGCCCAGAAATTGCCGCGGGGCAGGCAAATCAGTCTTTCCTTACCTAAGCGCCTGCTTCGGGCGAAGGAGGCGTGTCGATTCGTTTTCCAACGAATCCCGCTCCGTCCGTACCGTGAACAAAACCACGAGGCGTGGGAGAAGGGGCTGGGCAGTCGATGAACCAGGGCTGGGTCTTACGAGCCGATGAAGAGGCACGGGAAGGCGCTGGTTCGCCTGAACACTTTATCTGGACTTCAGGCCTTCCAGACGTATCTTTGCTCGGTTGAAAACGTTCAAGATTGGCTTGTTCTGGTTCGGTTCGGCTCGGCTCCTCTTCCTTATCTCAAATTGACTGACCAGCGACCTCACACTGCCTTTCTCCACAGTCGTCCAAGTTATCTGATCCTATCGTCCTCATTCATTGATTCCTCATCCAAGGCACACCACATATTTTCTGTTTCACATGTTTCCTTGGGAACTCCATCGCCCTGAGCAGTAAAATCAGTGCAGGCCAGTTTTACCGGTTCGTCCTATCAGCTTTTTTCATGGATCAGGTCGGCTTCGGGCTTGTGGGTTAGGTCGTGCTAGGTCGGCTTTGATGGCGGAATCGTAAATGAGGATCGATCGTCAGAACCTAGCATGTAGATTCCTCTATTGTTTCCGAGCATTGTTCTTGTAATGTAGCTCCCTGATCTGAAACCCTAGGTCCTGTCTTAGTCTCGATACTCATTAACCTTATCACATTGCTCATGGATGTTCCGCCTTCCACGCTGTGTTGTGCGGTCAGCCATCCGGACCGGCACAGCAGCGGGCATTCCTCATGTCTAAGCTCCTCCGCGTGCACGGAAGCCGCCTCGCCGGACGGCGAGTGGAACCTTCGCGAAGCAGGGGGTGGCGCAGGCGGAGGCCCTTCCGCGCGCGGGGGATCTTCCGCGGGTCTTCCGCAGAAGCGGCGGGAGCCGCCGTCCGCGCAGAGGGACCGCGCGGAGTGCCGGTGGTGCGGACGGCGCGTGCTGCTGAAGCGACAGTGCAGCTGCCGGGCGTGTTTGCAGTCCGGGCCGCCCATGGATCGACGAATAATGCGATGCCGCGACTGCAGCATTCACTCCGTACGTTACATTTGGGGCATCGGCGACAGCGAATGTGAACGAAAAGAAAATAAAACAAAAGAAAGGAAAGGTAAAGACGGAAAAGTTTGCAATGATAGGAAAAAAATATATATATATATATATAAATTATATATATATAATTTATTATGTATCCCATCACGGATCAGCAAAGAATCCAGGACTCAGGGCATCATTCGTTCCGCCAATCATTCGTGAGATTTGATACATCATTGCGAATCAAACAGCAAAGTGATGCAATGTAGCATAATGTAAGCATTTACGCCTGGCATTGGGATATGCAACATTGGATCAAACCCTGGATTTAGCGGAGCACATATCTATGTAGCTACTCAGTAAACACACGCCATGTCTCTGGCGTCCCAGATTCCCCATGCTTATACCACAAGTAATCCGCAATGCTTATTTCTGGCGTATGGGAATGAGTTTGCGGTGAACTTAACCCCAACCCATGCTTTCTTCTCAGGTTATCTACATGGCCTAAAATGGGATGAACTGAACTCTGATCATCCTTCCCATACTTCATTCATGAACCTGCTGCACCACCGCTGCGCCAAACCGCAGATGGGGCTCTCCTGGACCTCCCACGGGCTGCACTGCATGCACCACAAGCTCTCCCCCTCCATTCCCGCTTCTCACTACCCTCACTCCATGCCTCCCCCCCGTACCCCTTGCTTGTCCTTTGCACAGCAGGCGCGGTGCATGGAGTGCCTCTGTCTCTGCCGTGGGTACGAGGACGTAATGATCTCATCTGAACCATTTTTTCAAGGCCATCCAGCCCCCCCCATCCCCTGCAGGCGCGGTGTATGGTGTGTTTGTGCCTGTGCCGAGTCTATGAGGACGTGGAGCGGTGCTGCGAGCCGGGGTGCGTGAACCTGCTGCACCACCGCTGCGCCAAGCCACAGATGGGGCTCTCCTGGACCTCCCACGGGCTGCACTGCATGCACCACAAGCTCTCCCCCTCGCCCTCCTCCTCCTCTTCCTCTTCGTCCTTGTCTAACACGGCCGCTGCTGCCGTTACAGCTGTCAACGCCGCCACCGCCGCTGCCACCGCTGCCACCGCCGCCACCGCCGCCACTGCTGCCACTGCTGCCAATAGCCCGACCGCCACTGCTGCTACTGGCCCCTCTGCAGCCACTGCCATTGGCCCCACCACAGCCACTGCCACTGCTGCCACCATTGGCAATGAAATCGGTGGCGGCAGCGGTGGCGGTGGTGGTGGGAGCAGTGGCGATGTTAACGGTGACGGTGGTAGTGGAAACAAGAACGGCGCCGCCGGGAGCAACGGGGATATGGACAGCGGCAGCAAGGTCGACAATCAGAGAGAGCAAGCGATTGGAGGCAGCATTTTCAGTAGCAGCAACAGCAGCAGCGGTGGCGGCGACGGTGGTGGCAATGTTGATGGTGGTAAAGATGTTGGTAGAGATGGCATCAAACATGATGCTGCTGAGAATGTTGATGCTGGTGGCGACTCCCATGGCAGCAGCAGCTGCAGCAGCAAGGACTCATGCCATTTCTGCAGCCTGCTGGAAGAGAGGTCCACGCTGCCCCCCCTGCCCACTCCCTCCATTCTCAACTGGGTGCGTTTTAGGCGTGGGTTTGGGCCATGCACTGTTGGGAGCTCTGTGCCATGGTGGTCAGGTCACTCTGCCCGGCCGTGGTTCTGTCCTTTGGGCAATGGCGGCCAATTTGCGCTAGAGTGCAAACAGTTGCAGTCAAGGCCTCTCGTCTCACATGCTTCTCGTCTCACATGCTTCTCGTCTCACATGCTTCTCGTCTCACATGCTTCTCGTCTCACATGCTTCTTGGCCCACATGCTTCTTGGCCCACATGCTTCTTGGCGCACATGCCTCTCGCCCCACATGCTTCTTGGCCCACGTGCCGTTTCCAGCATATGCAGTATCCCTCCCTTTCACAAGTTCATGCAGCCTCATATGTTCATGCAGCCTCATATGTTCATGCAGCCTCATATGTTCATGCAGCCTCATATGTTCATGCAGCCTCATATGCTCATGCAGCCTCATATGCTCATGCAGCCTCACTCATCACGCACTCTCTCTCTTTGCATTCTCTCTTGTATCTCTCTGCATGCATGTGTTCATGTGTGCACGCATTCGTGTGTGCATGTGTGTGCATTGTTCTTGCTGTGCATCGTGCATGTCTGCATGTTTCCCTGTCCTGCCAACAGTACTGTGAGCCCGTGCAAACAGCAGAGGTGAGCTGCATCCCCCCTGCCACTGCGTCCCTCTACCTCTCTTCCCCTTCCACCCCTGATCCCCAGCTTCCCTAATTCCCAGTTTCTCTGATGCCCAGTTTCTCTAGTTCCCAGTTTCTCTGATGCCCAGTTTCCCTGATTTCCAGCTTCTTTTATACCGTGTTTCCCTTAACTCCCACTTTCCCCGATTCCCACTTTCCCCGATTCCCACTTTCCCTGATTCCCACTTTCCCCGATTCCCACTTTCCCTGATTCCCAATTTCCCCGATTCCCAATTTCCCTGATTCCCACTTTCCCTGATTCCCAATTTCCCCGATTCCCAATTTCCCTGATTCCCACTTTCCCTGATTCCCAATTTCCCCGATTCCCAATTTCCCTGATTCCCACTTTCCCTGATTCCCAATTTCCCCGATTCCCAATTTCCCTGATTCCCACTTTCCCTGATTCCCACTTTCCCTGATCCCACTTTCCCTGATTCCCAATTTCCCTGATTCCCAATTTCCCCGATTCCCAATTTCCCTGATTCCCACTTTCCCTGATTCCCAATTTTCCCGATTCCCAATTTCCCTGATTCCCACTTTCCCTGATTCCCAATTTCCCCGATTCCCAATGTCCCTGATTCCCAATTTCCCTGATTCCCACTTTCCCTGATTCCCACTTTCCCTGGTTCCCACTTTCCCTGATTCCCACTTTCCCTGATTCCCAATTTCCCTGATTCCCACTTCCCCTGATTCTTCCGCCTGCCCCCTGCCATCCCTCTCCCCCTCTCCCCCCCCCAACACCACTCCCTTCTCCTCTCCCCCTCTACCCCTTCCCTCTCTTCCTCGTCTGCAGCAAGGCATGTGCGCCCTGCCTCTGCCCCACGTGGCAGTGGATTTCCGCCTTCCCCCCGCCATCCCCCTTTCTGTGGACCTGGAGGAGCGAGACAAGGGCTCTGCACTGCCTGCAGTTGAGCAGTTAAAGCCACGATATATACACATCAACTCCAGTAAGTGTGGACATAGGGCGTGCAGGCGTTGCAGGCTGACTGACTGCCCTGCCCCCCGCCATCCCCCTCGTTGTGGATATAGAGGAGAGGGACGAGGTCGCTGCATTGAATGCAACTCGGCATGCAAAACCGCGATACATAACACATTGCCATGTTGTCTGTCTTGTCAGCTTGCCCTTTCTGTCCTCGATTCCCTGCTATGCAGACATACACCTGCGCCCGCCACCAGTGATGGACGATGAAGACATGGGGTGCGACTGTAAAGGGGGGAGCAACACGGCGTGTGGGGACGATTGCATGTGCCGGTGAGCCCAACACTATGTGTTTTTGAGAATTCTCAAATGAGACGTCTCAAAACACTTCTTCAAACAGGGGGGAGCAACACGGTGTGTGGGGACGATTGCATGTGCCGGTGAGCCCAACACTATCTCTTTATGCGTTCCATTTCATTCGTTTTACTTTCATTCCAATTCATTTCATCTCATTTTATTTCATTCGTTTCTGCTGGGTGTGCCGTGCCATGCATTGTCTTGCCATGGCAGGGCGCAATACCTGAGCTGCACCAGTCGCTGTGGGTGCCACGGGGGGTGCTGCAACAGGCCCTTCAGTCGCCCAAAGAAGCTAGACATCGTGCACGTGGGTGCAGCTCCCCTTTCTTCATAGCCTTCGATTTCAGGCGTCGTGTTTTACACTGGACATTTCAGAAAACGATGCCCTCTATGCCCCACACCCCCTTCAACTGCGCCCCACCACTATGTTGCATACCGCACCACTATGTTGCATACCTCACCACTATGTTGCATACCCCACCACTATGTTGCATACCCCACCACTATGTTGCATACCCCACCACTATGTTGCATACCCCACCACTATGTTGCATACCCCACCACTATGTTGCATACCCCACCACTATGTTGCATACCCCACCACCCCTTCTCCATCCCAAACCCCCCAACCCTCCTCCTACAACCATCTCCCCCCGGTCCCCACTCCCCCTCCCCGCCCTCTCCCCCTCGACCCACCCCCCGCTTTTCCTTCACCCCCCCATGCAATCAACGGCACCACGCATGCCAGACGCAGCGCTGTGGGTGGGGAGCCGGGGCAGCAGAGCCCATCAAGGCGGGCGAGTTCATTGTTGAATACGCGGGTGAAGGTGGGTTGAGAGAGGCGAAGGTGGGTGGGTTGAGAGAGGCGAAGGTGGGTTGAGAGAGGCGAAGGTGGGTGGGTTGAGAGAGGCGAAGGTGGGTGGGTTGAGAGAGGCGAAGGTGGGTTGAGAGAGGCGAAGGTGGGTGGGTTGAGAGAGGCGAAGGTGGGTGGGTTGAGAGAGGGGAAGGTGGGTTGAGAGAGGCGAAGGTGGGCTGAGAGAGGCGAAGGTGGGTGGGTTGAGAGAGAAAGGTGGGTTGAGAGGGTTTGAAGGTGGGTCAAGGGCTGGTGAAGGTGGGTTTAGAGGGGTGAAGTGGGTTCACGTATGGTTCGGGAAGGATGGGTGTGTTGGGTCCCACATAGTTGAAGCATTCTGGTCCTCCAACTGTGTGAACATGCTCCCACATTCCCTTGTCTTCTTTGATAATTCTAAAAAAAAAAATCATCCCTTGTCTTCTCTGCCTGCCTCCTCCCACACTTATGTGTGAGGCGCCATTTTCTTAGGCACCTAAAAACACTCCTGTTCCTCCTTCTCCCACAGTGATAGACGACGCGATGTGCGAGGCCCGGCTATGGGCGATGCGGGCAGGGGGAGCAACAGACTTTTACATGTGTGAAGTGAGCCGCGACGTTGTGATTGATGCCACCTTCCGTGGGGGGCACGGCCGTTTTGTCAACCACAGTTGCGCCCCCAACGCCGAGCTGCAGAAGTGGTGAGAGGATGCGTAGAGGTGAGGGAATGCAGTACAGTGAATGTGGGAGCGACGGATTTCTACATGTGTGAAGTGAGCCGCGACGTGGTCATTGGTGCCACCTTCTGTGGGGGCATGGCCGCTTTGTCAACCACAGCTGCGCCCCCAACGCTGAATTGCAGAAGTGGTGAGAGAATGCACTGTGGTGGTGAGAGAATGCACTGTGGTGGTGAGAGAATGCAGTGTGGTGGTGAGAGAATGCACTGTGGTGGTGAGAGAATGCACTGTGGTGGTGAGAGAATGCAGTGTGGTGGTGAGAGAATGCAGTGTGGTGGTGAGAGAATGCACTGTGGTGGTGAGAGAATGCACTGTGGTGGTGAGAGAATGCACTGTGGTGGTGAGAGAATGCACTGTGGTGGTGAGAGAATGCACTGTGGTGGTGAGAGAATGCAGTGTGGTGGTGAGAGAATGCAGTGTGGTGGTGAGAGAATGCAGTGTGGTGGTGAGAGAATGCACTGTGGTGGTGAGAGAATGCACTGTGGTGGTGAGAGAATGCACTGTGGTGGTGAGAGAATGCACTGTGGTGGTGAGAGAATGCAGTGTGGTGGTGAGAGAATGCACTGTGGTGGTGAGAGAATGCACTGTGGTGGTGAGAGAATGCAGTGTGGTGGTGAGAGAATGCACTGTGGTGGTGAGAGAATGCACTGTGGTGGTGAGAGAATGCACTGTGGTGGTGAGAGAATGCACTGTGGTGGTGAGAGAATGCACTGTGGTGGTGAGAGAATGCACTGTGGTGGTGAGAGAATGCAGTGTGGTGGTGAGAGAATGCACTGTGGTGGTGAGAGAATGCAGTGTGGTGGTGAGAGAATGCACTGTGGTGGTGAGAGAATGCACTGTGGTGGTGAGAGAATGCACTGTGGTGGTGAGAGAATGCACTGTGGTGGTGAGAGAATGCACTGTGGTGGTGAGAGAATGCAGTGTGGTGGTGAGAGAATGCACTGTGGTGGTGAGAGAATGCAGTGTGGTGGTGAGAGAATGCAGTGTGGTGGTGAGAGAATGCACTGTGGTGGTGAGAGAATGCACTGTGGTGGTGAGAGAATGCACTGTGGTGGTGAGAGAACACAAAAGTGGTGAAATGATGCTGCTGAGGTGGCTGAAGGCTTCTTCAACCACTACTGCACTTCCAAAGCCGAACCATAGAAGTGACAAGTAACGGCTTCTTTTGAGGCTTGTGATGACTAGAAAGCCTTGTCAAGCCTCAAAAGAAGCCGTCACCCCTTCTATCAATCAACTGGTCGTTGATGGCTTGGATGGCTTCCTTTGACGCAACAATGAACTTGTCTGTTCATCCTTTGTGTCTGCCTGCTTGCTCGTCCCTCTCCCGCTCAGGCTGGTGGAAGGGCATGTGCGGGTGGGCATCTTTGCCATCAAGGACATTGCAGTGGGCACGGAAGTGGCGTATGATTACAGGTGCTGTGGCTGGCGGGGTGGGTTGATGGGTGGGTGGCTGGCTGGCTGGCTGTGTTGGTGGGCAGGTGGGTGGGTGCGAGTGGAGGGGCATGTGTGGGTGGGGCATTCGCGGGTGGAGGGGCATGTGCGAGTGGGGCATTTGCGAGTGGAGGGGCATGTGTGGGTGGAGCCTGGAGGGGAATTTGCGAGTGGAGGGCCATGTGCGAGTGGGCATCTTCGCTATCAAGGACAATGCTGTGGGGTCGGAAGTGGAGTATGATTACAGGTGCTGTGGCTGCCTGAGTGTCTTTTTTGAGGCTTGACCTTGTCTCTCCTCTCATCCCATTCCCCCTCGGACACTTAACAGTTCTCACACAACTTTTTGGGAATCACTTTTGAGAAGTCCCAAAAGTCAAGATGTTTCCATGTCTCTTTTGTGAGAGAAGCCGTGCTCACACCTTCTCTCGCCTCTCGTCCCCATCTCTGTGCGATGTTCACACAGATTTGTGAGCTTCGGCCCGAACAAAGCTTGCCAGTGCGGTGCAGAGCGGTGCCGAGGAGTCATTGGGGCCAACCTTCCAACCACAGCCGTAACCATTCCTGCCGAACCGGCACCTGCCAAACCTGCGAAGCAGGCTGGGACCGGAGCTAGGGCAAAGCCCTGGAATAAAGAGGCCGGGGGGGGAGCAGGGGCAATAACAAGAGGGTTGTTCTGGGGTACAAGGGGTGCGAGATCGAGACGCATGCTGACGCATCTGTCTCCTCCCTGGTGGCAGCAGCACCAGCAGCAGTGGCTGCTACACCACCTCGTAACATGATTTGTTACATTCTTTTATTCATCCCTGCGAAGTTTCTCTGATTGCGATTCGATTTGTTCCTGGAAAGGCCACTTTTTAACTAAAAACAGTGCTGCTGGCAGGTTTCATTATCTCCTCCCCATAACAGTGTTGCTGGTAGCTCATATCTGCCCCATCTGAAAGGCTACCGTAGCAGAAGCGGTACTTTCCCTGGTGATAAGGACCTTCTTCCTTAGGTTAAATTATGGCACACTAAGGATACAAAGGTGAGCAAATTAGAACAGGAGTTAGTTAGTTCCTAGGCGTATCTAGCACCTAATTAGCAGCACTACTGCCAGCCAGGCACCTCAACATGTCAACGAGTAACTAAAAACCTGCTAGAGAGTTAGTTGCATATGTTGGAATACATTTCACGCAACATGAAGGTGCGTGCATTTCAGAAGCACAGCTGCTGAAGGGGAAGCTAACAGGGCTGCTGCTGCTGCTGCGCGCACTTGTGAATGATGCGTCATCACATCATCACGCTTCAAACCACGATGGTGCTGGTGCGGCTGCCGGCGGTAGTGGTGGTGGTGATGCTGGTGGTGGTGGTGGTGGTGGTGGTGGTGGTGGTGGTGGTGGTGGTGGTGGTGGTGGTGGTGGTGGTGGTGGTGGTGGTGGTGGTGGTGGTGGGTATTTCCCATGTTGCTGAATTGCTACGTGCTTCAGCTGTGGTAGGCTGGCAGGCTGTCCAATATGCAGCCCATTATTCCCCTCTCCCCCTCGCCCCACCCCCTCCTTTCCCCTCCTCCATTCCGCCATCCTTCAGTTCCCCAGCCCTGCTCCTTGCCCCCGAGGTTATCCAGCCATCCCTCCTCGCCCCTCCTTCCTTCCCCCCTTCCCCCCCCCTCCCACCCTTCCCCTCCTTTCCGCCATCCTTCAGCCCCCCAGCCCTGCTACTTGCCCCAGAGATTCTCCAGCCAACCTCCTCTTTTCGCTGACTTGGGAGGTGATGCAGATGCGTCAGCTGCAATCGTTGGTTCTTGTGCTGCTGGCGGTGGTGCTTGGGCCTCTGCTGCTGCTGGAATCGGGAAAGAGGGACAGAGGGAGAGGAAGGGAGAAAGAAGTTTGTGCGATGGCTCGAAAAGGGTGTGAGGACGAGGGAAAGAGGGACAGAGGGGGAGGAGGGGAGAAAGCAGTTTGAGATGGCTCAAAAAGGGTGTGAGGACGAGGGAGAGAGGGACAGCCGGTGACTACACGTCATCCAGGCGTGAATGATCTTTCAGCATCTTAAGCAGACTGAAAAGCCACCTTGACTCCCCCCCATTAGCCATGCCCCTCCACCAACCATCCACGGGCCATCATGTTACCTTGAGCTATCATGCATGTGCCATCCACCCGCACTGCACCCAAACTGCACCCAAGCTATCATCACACCACCACCACCACCACCACTGCCACCACCTGATTGGGCCACTCACCTGTACTTGGTTCCTCCTCCCGTCTCTCCATGCTCACTGCTGCTTGACTCATCTCCTTGTCTGTCTCCCAAATTGGCCCTCCACCTCCTCCCATCCCTCCACTCTCTCTTTCTTCCCCTCCTCCTCCCCCTTCCCCTCCTCCTCCTGCTCCCTCTCCTGCACTCTCTCCCTCCCTGTGCCCCTCACTCTGCCCACTATCACTGGGCGATCTCACAGGAGTAAGTTTCCCCGCGTAACTCCCACTACCACTCACCTGACTACCCATATTCCCACTACCCATGTTCCCACTACCCATGTTCCCACTACCCATGTTCCCACTACCCATGTTCCCACTACCCATATTCCCACTACCCATGTTCCCACTCCCTAACCCCCCACTCAATCCTCCACTCCCTAGTCTGCTTCCCAAACCACCCCCACTTCCTAGTCTGCCGCCCAGCCCACTTCCCCCAGCGCCATGTAACATCGCGCCGTGGTTACCACTCCCCCCATACGCACTGCTGCCGTACCCCTCACTCCCATAGTTGCCACTTCCCAAGGCATAATTCCCCTTGGCATAATTCCCACTCCCACTCCCGTACCCCTCACTCCCGTGATTCCCACTCCCATACCCATACGCTTCTTCTTCGCCCTATAATTCCCACTCCCTTGCCCCCCCCCCAAATTACTCCTCCCCAGCCTCCCCCCATAATCACCCCCCTCCCCCACCGCCCCCCCCATAGTTCCCACTCCCCAACCTCCCTCCAAAATTCCCGCTCCCATACGCCTCACTCCCAGTGGCGCCAGAACTGCCGGCTAGCCGGCTAGCTGCCGGCTGAACGTCCTCCTGGAAGGAAACCTGCCGGCTGCTGCGGCCGGAGGTGCGGGGAGGGAAGGAGGAGGGGCCAGTGGCGGAGCTGGTGTGGGTCTTGAGACTGGAATGCAGGGGAGGGTGCTGGGACTGCTGCTGGTGCTGGTGGTGTCTGTATAAGGGTGGGAGGGCGCTGTTTGTGTTAAACTGATCTATGTTGTCATCCTCCTCTTCTTCCTCTTCTTCCTCTTCCTCCTCTTCCTCCTCTTCCTCTTCTTCATCCTCCTCTTCCTCCTCATCCTCCTCCTCTTCATCTTCCACCTCTTCCTCCTCTTCGTCCTCTTCTTCCTCCTCTTCCCCCTCTTCTTCCTCATCCTCCTCTTCCTCCTCTTCCTCTTCCTCCTCTTCCCCAGTTTCTTCTGTCTCGCCAGTCATTCCCGTTTCCTCTGTTTCCCCTGTGCCTTCCGTTCCCTCAGTTTCCTCTTCTGTCTCTCCGTCGGTTTCTCCTTCGGTTTCTCCCTCCGTCTCTCCCTCCGTCTCTCCCTCCGTCTCTCCCTCCGTCTCTCCCTCAGTCTCTTCTGTCTCCCCAGTCACCTCCTCACTCCCTTCCTCTGTCACTTCTTCTGTCAATTCCTCTGTTCCCTCCTCACTTCCCTCCTCGCTCCCCTCTTCACTCCCCTCCTCTGTCACTTCTTCTGTCACTTCCTCTGTTCCCTCCTCCTCCTCACTCCCCTCCTCACTCTCCTCCCCTTCCCCCTCACCAGTCTCACCAGTCATTTCTGTCCCATGACTTCTCCAGCTCTCTCCTTGCATCCCTCCCTCCCCAATGCCTCTACCCCCTTCTTGCTCCTCCCGAGCCTCTAGTCTCGGCTCGAGGCTCAGCTCCGGAACGAGGTCCGGGCGTCCATGCCTGCTGTGCCCTTCCCCCTCTCTCACTCCATCTCCCTTCCCTCCATCAGCCTCCTGGTTCCCGACCCTCACTCCCTCGCTCCCTTCTCGCCCCTCACCCAAACCTGCATTTCCTGAATCTGCAGGGCCTGCACCCGAACCTGCCCCCGGACCTGCACCGCTCGCCGAACCTGTCCCACCTCTTTGGCTCCTTGACCCTGCGTCGAGCCAAGAAAACCCACCGTACAGCGCCGGACCTGGAGCCAACTTCTGAGGCTCGGCCTTTACCCGAGGCAAAGGAGAGGACCGGTAAGGCAGGTATCCTGAGCTATGGTCACTTAAGTCTAGATAACTCCCCTCGTACCTCCCACTGAATCCACTCCTTTTGCTGCTGCCCCTGCCGCTGCTGCCAATACTGGCCCCACTAGCAACACTCGCCCCATCCCCACCATTATCCTCATCATTATCCTCCTCGTTATCCCCTTCAGTGTACCCGCTCGCGCTGCTGCCGCTCCTACTCAGCCTCCCACTGCTACCCCGAACCAGCCCTTCCAAACCTGGCGAGTTGCCTTGGGAATTCCCTGAACTGCGGGGAGTATGGGGAGTGGATGACCCAGCTGCTTTCCCATCCCCACTCGAACCACCCCCACTAGTCCGCGCTGCAGCTTGCTGCCACTCCATTATCCGCTGCTGTATCGCATTCAACCCCCCAGCACCGTCCGCACCGTTACCAGCACCCACAGCAGCACCCGCACCCACAGCAGCAGCAGCAGACGCAATACCGTCCGGATCAGTCTCACCTCTGCTGCTACTGTGACCATTCACCCCAACCCCTCCCGGCCACTCCTTAGTGTTAACCCTACTGGTATGGGGACTGGTATGCCTACTGGGATGCGGACTAGCATGCCTGCTAGGGTGGGGACTTGCATGTCTACTCGGGTGGGGGCTGACATGGGGGCTGGCTCGTAGACTAGGCCCGATCCCTCTCTCCCCAGCGGGTCTTAGCACTGCCTTCCAGTCAACTGTGTTCTGCTGGCTGTTGCTGTCCGGCTGACTGCTAGCCGGCGGGCCTGCCGGCCGCAGGTGCGCGCGCCAGTTGGGATCGCTCTGGTCCGTGCTCCCAGTGGCCAGCCGGGCAGAGGAATCAATGTGTCTTAGAGGCACAGATGGGGCTTCAAGTGGCATTACCACCGCCCCTCCTCCTGCTCCTCCTCCCGGGCCTCCGGTTTGGTGCAGAGACGGCCATTCCTTGGTGTTTTGCCTGCTGCCCGGTCGGCTGCTCGGTCTGCTTCCCGCCTGCTGCTGCTTCTGCTGGATTGAAGCGGGCGTGGGCCACTCTTGAGTGTTCTGCCTGCTGCCCTGCCTGCTCCCGGGTCTGCTCCCCTGCTGCTGCTGCTGCTGCTGCTGAAGCTGCTGCAGCAGTTGTTGTTGCTGCACGGAAACAGGTGTCGGCCACTCCTGAGTGTTCTGCCTGCTGCCCTGCCTGCTCCCCTGTGGCTGCGGTTGAGCCGACACAGGAGCTGGCCACTCTTGAGTATTCTGCCTGCTCCCCGCTCTGCTCCCCTGCTGCTGCTGTACAGATTGAGGGGCAGGCCATTCGTTTGTGTTCTGCCTGCTGCCCCGCCTGCTCCCACCCCAGATGCCCCCACCGTCACCAGCAGCACCACCACCCATCTCTCGGTTGAAACTCCCTGCTTGTTGCATTCGGATAGCAGCAGCAGAGGCCCCACCGCCTGCCGCCGCCACTACCGCTGCTGCCGCTGCGATTGCAGCATACCCTGCCTCTCTCCCTCCTCCCTCCTCCCCCTCTGTGCTGCTTCCCTCTGCCTCTGTCTCTCTCTCTCTGTCTCTGCCTCTGTCTCTCCCTCTGTCTCTGTCTCTTCTTGTGACGAGCCCAGTTCTCCTCCCTCCCCTGTGTCCTGCTCTCTGCTACTCTCTTCCCTCAGGGGCACCACACTTATCGATCCATCCTCCTCCTCTTCCTCTCTTCCTTCCTTCTCTTCCTCCTCCTCTTCCTCCTCCTCTTCCTCCTCCTCCTCCTCCTCCTCCTCCTCCTCCTCCTCCTCCTCCTCCTCCTCCGCCTCCTCCTCCTCCTCCTCCTCCTCCTCCTCCTCCTCCTCCTCCTCTTCCTCCTCCTCCTCCTCCTCCTCCTCCTCCTCCTCCTCCTCCTCCTCCTCCTCCTCCTCCTCCTCCTCCTCCTCCTCCTCCTCCTCCTCCTCCTCTTCCTCCTCTTCCTCCTCTTCCGTCACTTCCTCCTCCTCATCGTCCTCTTCCTCCCCTTCCCCTTCTGTTCCCTCCTCTGTTTCTTCCTTTCTTCTCTCTTCCTCCTCTTCTCCCCTTCCCCCTCCGTTCCCTCCTCTGTTTCTTCCTCTTCCTCCCTCCTCCTCCTCTTCCTCCCCTTCCTCCCCTTCCCCCTCTGTACCCTCCTCTGTTTCTCTTTCCTCTTCCTCCTCTTCCTCCCCTTCCCCTTCTGTCCCCTCCTCTGTTTCCTCCTCTTCCTCTTCTCTTTCCGTCTCCTCCTCCGTCTCTTCCTCTCCCTCTCCTACCCACCCCTCCCCACCCTCACCAGCACCAGGAACGCCATCGTAACTCCCCTCACTCTCCTCCGTCTCCCCTTCTGTCTCCGTTACCATCTGACCCACTTCATCATATAAAGCAAGCTGGGACTCAGTCATGGAAGTAACGTCATCATCAATCGTTTGCTCCTCGCCTATAGTGTGAACCGTCACTTCCCCCTCGCCGCCCCCTTCCTCCTCCCCACCATAGTATGACGCCCCTTGATCCTCTTCTGTCTCTTCCTCCTCTTCTTCTTCCTCCTCCTCCTCCTCCTCCTCCTCCTCCTCCTCCTCCTCCTCCTCCTCCTCCTCCTCCTCCTCCTCCTCCTCCTCCTCCTCCTCCTCCTCCTCCTCCTCCTCCTCCTCCTCCTCCTCTTCTTCCTCCTCCTCTTCCTCCCCCTCCCCTGTTCCTTCAGTCACTTCTGTCTCTTCAGTCACCTCTTCCCCTGTCACTTCTTCTGTCACCTCCTCTTCTGTCACTTCCTCTTCTGTCACTTCCTCTTCTGTTACCTCCTCTTCTGTCACCCTCCGTTCCTTCCTCTGTTGCTTCTTCAGTCCCATACCCTTCCTCCTCTTCCTCCTCCTCTTCCTCCTCCTCCTCCTCCTCCTCCTCCTCCTCCTCCTCCTTCTCCTCCTCCTCCTCCTCCTCCTCCTCCTCCTCCTCCTCCTCCTCCTCCTCCTCCTCCTCCTCCTCCTCCTCCTCCTCCTCCTCCTCATCCTCCTCTTCTGTCTCTTGGGTTATTTCCTCCTCTGTTCCCTCCACTGTCTCTTCCTCCTCTTCCTCCTCTTCCTCCTCCTCATAATCCTCACTTGCTCCTGTCACTTCCGTCCCCTCTTCTTCCTCTTCCTCCTCCTCATATTCCTCAGTCATTTCCGTTGCCTCAGTCCCCTCCTCCTCTTCCTCCTCTCCCTCGCCTTCCTCCTCATAATCCTCTGTCACTTCAGTGACCTCTGTTCCCTCCTCCTCCTCCTCTTCCTCCTCCTCCTCCTCCTCCTCTTCCTCCTCTTCCTCTTCCTCCTCTTCCTCCTCCTCCTCCTCCTCCTCCTCTTCCTCCTCATAATCCTTCGTCGTTTCTTCTTCTGTCCCTGTAACCTCCTCTGTCCCAGTTACCTCCTCCGTCCCTGTAACCTCCTCTGTCCCAGTTACCTCCTCCGTCCCTGTAACCTCCTCTGTCCCAGTTACCTCCTCCGTACCGTCTTCTGTACCCTCCTCTGTCTCTGTAAACTCCTCCTCATCCTCTTCCTCATCTTCTTCCTCCTCTTCCTCCTCATCCTCTTCCTCCTCATCCTCTTCCTCCTCTTCTTCCTCCTCCTCATCCTCTTCCTCCTCTTCTTCCTCTTCCCCCTCCTCATCCTCCTCCTTCTTCCTCCTCTTCCTCCTCTTCATCCTCCTCCTCATCTTCCTCCTCCTCTTCATCCTCCTCCTCTTCCTCCTCCTCCTCATCCTCCTCCTCCTCCTCCTCCTCCTCTTCCTCAATAACTTCAGCAGTCACAACACCGCTATTCCCCTCACCATCGCCCCATCCCGCACCACCATAGACACCAGAAGCAGACGAAGAAACAACCGCAGCAGAAACAGCAGAGCCAGACGACAAAACCCTCGTCAAAACTCACTTCCTTCCTCCTCCTACCCGCACCTGCCGCACCAACACCAATCTGCTGCTGCTGCTGCTGCCACTGCTGCTGCTGCTGCTGCTGCTGCTGCTGCTGCTGCTGCTGCTGCTGTGTTGCCACTGCTGCTGCTGCTGCATCTGCCCACTCGTCTGCTCCCCAGACGTCAACACTTCACCTACAGGAACATCTTCCTCCTCTTCTTCCTCCTCTTCTTCACTCGATGCAAATGACCACTCTCTCTCACTCCCCTCCCTCTCTCCCTCCCCTCCTCTGCCTCTCCCTCCTTGCTGTCGCAAACCTCCTGCTGCCTGCTCCTCCTGCTTCCGCCTCTCCTCCTCCTCCTCCCGCTGCTTTTGCTGGCGTTTCCTTGCCATTTCCACTGCAGTAGCAGCTGAAATAGACGAAGCCATGATTGCACTAGTCAAAGCATCATTCGCCCCCATGTTTCCCTCTCCTCTCTCCCCTCTCTCCCCTCTCTCCCCTCTCTCCCCTCCATCCGTACCCCCCATCAACCTATCCCCGCTAGGAGTCACACTCCTTTCAGCACTTAGCAAAGCGCTGGTATTTCTCGACTCTGACTCTGATTCGTCGGGGCTCGACCAATCAGCAGATCTCGGGGAAGCAGTGCTAGCACTGGTCGGCCGGGCCCGGCCCAAGGACACAGGCGTGCCTGCCGAACCTGCGGCTCCCGGACCTAGCGGCGGCCGGCGCGTTCCCCACCCACTTGCCGAACCTTCCCCTCCTCCTACCGCTCCTGCCGTTCCTGCCACCCCTACCACCCCTGCTGCCGCTGCTGCTGCAGCTGTAACACTAGCAGAAGCGCCGGCACCCTCACCCCCCTCCCCACCACTCCCAACCCCTTCACTATCATATGCTGTTGCATATGACTCATCTCGTCCAAACCTCAGGCTCCTCCCCCCTTCAGGCGCAGTGGCCCACGACTCGTCCCTCTCGAACCCCCCGACCCTCCCCGCCTCCGCCCCTTCTCCTCCAACCGCACTGCCGCTACCACTGGCACTAGCAGCACCAGCAGCGGCACCAACAGGAATCGGCCGGAGGGGAAAGGAGGGTGCTTCAGAGGAAGCCGGGAAGGCACCGGGGGGAGCGGGCACGGGTGTGGGTCGGAGGGGGAAAGCAGGGGAGGCGGAAGGGCCAGGGGGAGGGGGAGGGGCGGAAGGGGGAAGGGCGGAGAGGCGGGGGTCAGCAGGTGGGGGAGGGAGGGGGGAAGGACCTATGGTTCCTCCTGGCAAAGACTCCCCCTTGTTATCAACATCCTTTCTGTTGTCCCTCCAGCTGCCGCCGCTGCTGCTGCCAGGTCCTCCTAGCCCTCCTAAACCCTCTGTACCGTGCACAACCACTTGTATCCGTCCCGATGGGGACCCTGGTGGTGATGGTTCTTTCTTCTCGCCTTGCTGCTGCTGCTGCTTCTCCTGCTCCTGCTCTTGCTGTGGCTGCTTCTGCCCCCATCGGAACGGCATGAGCGCGAAAGCACCCACCGCTGCGGCTGCTGCTGCAAATCCCTCCGCCACACTCATCCCTCCCGCTCCTGCTCCTGCTGCTGCTCCTCCCGCTTCTGCTGCTCCCCCTGCTCCTGCTGCTCCTTCCGCTGCTCCTGCTGCCGCTGCTGGTGGTGGGGTCAACGCTGCTGAAGTGGACGCAGCAGCACCACTGGTACCAACACCACCAACTGCTCCTCCCGCCGCTCCTGCTTCTGCTCCTCCTGCTGCTGCGCCTCCTACCGCTGCTCCTGCCACTCCTGCTGTTACCCCTCCTGCCCCTGCTCCTGCTGCTCCTGCGGCTCCTGATTGCACAGCACCACTATCCCCGCTATAAGCCTCTGCCTCCACCACTCCCTCCTCCCCATCCTCGCTCCTCTCATCCTCACTCTCCTCCTCCTCGCCCTCCCCTTCAGACCCAATCTCCACTATCGTCTCGTGCATCACTGGACGGCTTCTCAACCCACCTCCTCCCGCTGCTGCTGCTGCTGCTCCTGCTGCTGCTCCTGCTGCCCCTGCTGCCACACCAGCAGCAGCGGCACCAGCAGGGGAATCAGCGGCAGGAGTGGCGGGGGTGGGTGGCGGAGGGGGGAGCTGCGGCGGAGTCTGTTGGAAGGGATGAAAGGAGGGAGATGAGAATGAGAAGAGAAAGAGAATGACAATGAAGATGACAACAAGCGGCGTACAACATTCAGCTTAATCCCTATTTCACAAAGCCTGTATCTCACACCCGTCCAAGGTCTGCTACTCACCCGTCCAAGGTCTGCAACTCACCCGTCCAAGGTCTGCAACTCACCCGTCCAAGCTTCCTCCTCTGGTCGTCCGACTCCGTATCAACATCACCCGATGTTGGCACTGCCATCGGCACTTCATCCGACTCCTCTGCCTGCCGTCGTTTGAGTCTATTAAAAGCCACATGCGTGTAACTCACCCGTCCAACGATTCTCCTCTGGTCGTCCGACTCCGTATCAACATCATCAGACGTTGGCAGTGCCATTGGCACATCATCCGACTCCTCTGCCGTCTCCTCCCCTCCTCTCCCACTCCTTCCTCTCCCACCCCTCCCCACCTTCTCACTGCTCTCCTCCTCCCGAGTACTATACCCCTCCCCCTCCTCCCCAACCTCCACACTCGTATACTCCTGACTCTCCCCCACAGGCAGCGCCATTACCACCTCTTCCCCGCTCTCTCCTATCGGCCCGCTCTCTGTCTTCCTCTCGCTCTCTCCCCCACCAGTGCTGGCACCAGCAGGGGTGGACGGGCCGGCACCACCACCAGCAGCAGCAGCAGCCCGATCAGCTGCCTGCTCGATTCGGCGCCGCAGGGGCGAGTCGCTGCCACCGCTGATGGGCTTGGATCGACTCGAGCCGTACTGACCAGACCTGGAAGGGAGAGGAGAATGGAGGGGAGAGAAAAGGGGGGTGGGGGAGAGGAAAGGGGGGTGGGGGAGAGGAAAGGGGGGTGGGGGAGAGGAAAGGGGGGTGAGGGAGAGGAAAGGTTTGGAGAGGAAGGAAGGAAAGAAGGGGAAGCAAGGGGAGAGTTGCTGCTGCTGATGGGCTTGGAGCGACTGGAGTCGTATTGGCTTGGAAAGCCAGGAAGAAGTGACCTGGGCGGCAGGGAGGAACTGACCTGGGCGGCGGCAGGGAGGAACTGACCTGGGCGGCATGGCACCGAATCCAGCCATGTGCATGCGGGTGTTGGAATCCATGTCCTCTGAATACAGCGCCGCACTCTCCTCTTCTTCCTCCTCCTCCTCATCCCTCTCCTCCGTCTGCTCTCCTGTTTCCCCCACAGCCCCCCCTGCTTCTCGGGAAGAGAAGGACGCAGAGTTGGGCTGAGCTCCTGCTCCTGCTGCTGCTCCAGCAACAGCAGCAGCACCACCAGCTGCTGCTGCTGCTGTGCCGACTGCTATGGCTGCGGCACCAGCAGCGCCACCAACACCAGCAGCAGCAGCGCCACCAGCAGCAGCGGTGGGAGCAGCAGCAGGCGCAGCACTCCCAGTGTCGAGGGCAGAGGCGGTGGTGTCGGGGAACTCGAGGGAGGGCGGGTTGGCGAGGGGGTTGGTGATGTAGATTCGGGGAGAGGAGCCGGCTGACCCGCCATGCTTCATGCAGTAGGGATCCGCGCAGCTGGAGCCACTGTGGGGTGGGAGGAAGAGAGGAGAGGCGGGGAGTGGTGGGGGAAGTAGAGGTGAAGGGGGATGAGTCGGCTGACCCGCCATGCTTCATGCAGTAGGGATCCGCGCAGCTGGAGCCACTGTGGGGTGGGAGGAAGAGAGGAGAGGCGGGGAGTGGTGGGGGAAGTAGAGGTGAAGGGGGATGAGTCGGCTGACCCGCCATGCTTCATGCAGTAGGGATCCGCGCAGCTGGAGCCACTGTGGGGTGGGAGGAAGAGGGAGGGGGCGGGGGTTGGCGCAGGGAGTAGGAGTCAAGCAAAGGGAGGTGCAGCGCGGGGAGGAGCCCCCTGACCCGCCATGCTTCATGCAGTAGGGATCCGCGCAGCTGGAACCACTGCGGAGAGAGGAAGGGGGGGAGAGAGGAGCAGAACGGGTAGGTGACACGAAGTTGGAGGGAGGGAAGGGAAGAGAAAGGGGGAGAAATAGGAGGAGGTGAGGGAAAAATGGGAAGGAGGTCAACCCGTACACTCCCTCATTCACTCAAACACTCACTCGATCAGGTGAGTGCTCACCTGATGCACTCACTCGATCAGGTGAGTGCTCACCTGATGCACTCACTCGATCAGGTGAGTGCTCACCTGATGCACTCACTCGATCAGGTGAGTGCTCACCTGATGCACTCACTCGATCAGGTGAGTGCTCACCTGATGCACTCACTCGATCAGGTGAGTGCTCACCTGATGCACTCACTCGATCAGGTGAGTGCTCACCTGATGCACTCACTCGATCAGGTGAGTGCTCACCTGATGCACTCACTCGATCAGGTGAGTGCTCACCTGATGCACTCACTCGATCAGGTGAGTGCTCACCTGATGCACTCACTCGATCAGGTGAGTGCTCACCTGATGCACTCACTCGATCAGGTGAGTGCTCACCTGATGCACTCACTCGATCAGGTGAGTGCTCACCTGATGCACTCACTCGATCAGGTGAGTGCTCACCTGATGCACTCACTCGATCAGGTGAGTGCTCACCTGATGCACTCACTCGATCAGGTGAGTGCTCACCTGATGCACTCACTCGATCAGGTGAGTGCTCACCTGATGCACTCACTCGATCAGGTGAGTGCTCACCTGATGCACTCACTCGATCAGGTGAGTGCTCACCTGATGC